CTTAATGTCTACCCTTCTTTTTTTTTTTAACCTCTGAACTAATAATTTGCTGTACAGAACTTTGGTGATTACAACTTGTGGTTGGCAGCAGAAAATGGGATGTTTTTGCGAGTTACAGAGGGAGAGTGGATGACAACGATGCCAGAAAATTTAAATATGGAATGGGTGGATAGTGTCAAGGTACTTACCTTTGATAAAAGTTTAGAATAATCCATATAGAGTTCTTCAGGTTCTGATGTTTACTCATGATTTCAGCATGTTTTCGAATATTTTACTGAAAGAACTCCTCGATCTCATTTTGAGCTCCGTGAAACTTCAGTTATATGGAACTATAAATATGCAGGTCCTCATCAATAAACTTCAACTAATATATATTGTCTCTTCTATAATATATATTGTCTCTTCTATTTAGCATAGATAATCACATAAGGTTAAGCTTATGTGTGGAAATCTAGATGTTGAGTTTGGAAGACTTCAAGCAAGGGATTTGTTGCAGCATCTTTGGATAGGTCCAATCTCTAATGCATCTCTTGATGTTGTCCAAGGTAGCCGATCTGTTGAGGTTAGATCTGTCGGTGTTACAAAGGTATGGTTTAGTGGTATTATTCACAGCTGTTCTGCTATTCAATGATCAGGATTACAGGTTGTCTTCTATCATGCTTTGATGAATATAAATATATATATATATATATATATATAGGGTGCAGCAATCGATCGAATACTTGGAGAAATAGTTCATAACAAAGGCATGAAGGAACCCATTGATTATGTCCTATGTATTGGGCACTTTCTAGCTAAGGTGTGTGTTTCAATTACCAACTTTTAACTTTTTTCCCTTTTTGGAAGTATTCCTATATAGAAAATATTTGGTTTGAGGACATCCTATTAATTATATCTTACTCTGCTGCAATTCTTAACTGTTGAATAAAATGTTCTGTGCTTAAAGCAATCCCATCTGTTGGTCCAAATTGAAAATAAGGGCCCAGAAAACCAATGTACAATAAGATCATGCAACAACAGTTTTAGGCTTTTAGCACTTCTGGCTATTTTGGCCTATAATCCAGTTTAGATCAGCTTCAAACTAATTGAAAATTGCTTGCTTTGCTTGAATAACTCCTGAAACTTTGTGCTGATGATATGGCAAGGAATTCACATGGTTCAGGATTGAAATTAAATCTTGTGCAATTGGTTCAGGATGAAGACATTTATACCTTTTTTGAGCCAGAGCTTCCTTCAGAAGTCCCAGCTCCAGTAAGACCCCATATACCAACACCAGTCGGGACATCTGTTTCAAAGTTACCAGTGAGTAAAAGTGGATCCAGGGCGGCTCACCTTAAGAAACAACGTTCAATGTCAACTATAGAAAGGAACACACGCCATCCTGTAGGTGGAGGTGGTTTGCAGCAATCAAGGGTGCCAGATAGAATCTCATTGCAAGAGGGTTCTTCAGTACTTGACCTTCAGGGGGACAATTACTTTTCTTGCTCTGTAGCTAGGAAAAGATCGAATGCTAGGTATCTCCTTGGATCATCGGATGATGTTGTGAAACTCTTAAGGGGGCTGGCAGATTCATAGAGTTAGTTGACAGTGGCACGAGCAGTGATGGATTTACAATGCGGGCAGCTACCACTATTACAATGTTAAAAATGTCTTGTTGGTGCTTCTATGTAAATACCTTTCTATGTTGATCATACTGGAATTCATTTAATATCTCTTTGAATTTTATTATTCTTCATTTATAGTACTTTACTGGTAAAGTTTTCAAGGAAGTTTTATTTTTTAATAATGTGTAAAGATAATTTCATGTAATAGAAGGCTTCATTCTCAGTTTAGTATTACTATTATTATTAACCAATTCACAATCAAATTATTTCAGTTCACCAATTCGTTTCCATTCATTAATATCAATGGCAAAAGGTTAAAAGTTAAAAGCAATTCAAAAGCTACCCACAACTTTGGCAAATTTGAGTTGCAATGCAGAAATTTGTCCAAAGACAATTTTCTTTGGAGTAAAGAAAATTGCAGGGGCCACGGTGGTAATTTCATTTGTATTTCAGTTGGTGAAGCGAACCAGATGTTTGGTTTGCTGATGTGGTTAATGAACATTTAAGGAAGGAAAAGTGGATTGGTGCCATGTTCACCACCTAATGTTTCTTCAAAAATGTCTAAAAGAGCATAACCGTAAAATGAAAGTCGGATGGTTTCTGCTGCATACTCCTTCTGAAATGCATAAAACGCTGCCATCTCAGTCAGAGTTGCTGAGATCTGTTCTTGCTGCTGATTTAGTAGGGTAAGACACATTTTGTTTTTGGCATTATTATATTTGAAATCAAATGCAATGTTTATGTATTGGGAGATTGCTTAGGTCTCTGAATTGAGCTTTGTTTGCATGTCTAGGAGGGTGTTCAAATCTTCACTAAATTTAGTAGCGTTAATTAATGTGCTTTGGATTTGGCTGAGCAAGCTGATGGACCTTAGGCTGGGATTGGACTCTCCAAGGAGTTTGAACATTCCTCAGGTTTTATCTCCTCCCTAAATGACCAGCACAAAGGTAACAAACAAGCAAACATAAGAGCAGAAATTAAGAAAGCTAACATTGAATCACATATGTCTACTCTCTGCAGCATGATAATGTTTCAAGGTTTGTTTTTTAATTATATTTTGTTTGATACCATATCATCATTTGTAGCCAATATATGATACTAAATGTTATTATTATATTCCTACTGCCTGAACACTGGCAATAAACCAATAGGCTAGTTAGAATTTTTAGTTTAGGTCAATATAAAATACCCATTTGGAGTGATTATGCTGATTGTTAATCGATTTGATAGGTTGATTCAGTATTTAATGGATATGAACATATTAAAATACCTCAAACAGCAGCTAGCTGATTAAAAGATCAAGAATCCCACCACTTTCATTCTGCATTTTTCTAAAGATATAAAGGAAGTGACTGTACATGCTCAATAGATTTGAGGTTGCAAGTTCAAACCATAGGGCGTTCCGATAACCAACTTTTAGCTGCTTTCCTTTCTTTTGAAGTATTCCTATATAGAAATATTTGGTTTGACGACATTGTATCTTACTCTGCTCGACATAATGTAACAGTTTTAGGTTTTTAGAACTTCTGGCTGTTATGGCCTATAATTCAGTTCGATCGGCCTCTAAATTGTAAAATTGCTAGCATTGCTCGAATAACTTGAAACTTTTAGCTAATGATATGGCAAGGAATTCAAATGTTCAGTAACACACACAGACAAGCATCATGATGCTTAAACGTGAAATAATTGAAACTAAATCTTCTGCAATTAGTTCAGGATGAAGAAATTTATACCTTTTTGGAGCAAGAGCTTCCTTCAGAAGTCCCTGCTTGGGTAAGACCTCATGTACCAAAACCAGTCAGGACATCTGTTTCAAAGTTAGCAGCGAGTGGAAGTGGATCCAGCCTTAGAAAACAACAGTCCTTGTCATCTAGAGAAAGGAAAACAAGCTAGCCTGTATTTGGGGGTGCTTTGCAAATTGCAATCAATTTGCTTCCCATCAATATCAATGGCAAGATGAGGCTCAACAAGTCAGCATTCAGAGGGGTAGGGCATGCTATGTCGTATAGAGGGCCTTAAAAGGTAACAACATTCCAAAAAGCTGCCCACAACTTTGACAATTTTGAGTTGCAAAATTTAGACATCCATTTCTTGCCCTATGCCGCATTGAAATGGCCATGCAACTATAGCTAGTGTACCAAAATAAAAGTGGTCATCCACCTAAAAGCAGACTAGAGAGATTCCCACTAATGCCAATGAATATGTGGGATGAAACTTGAAAGCCAGAGCTTGGAAGGACTTGAAAAGTTTGAAAACGAAAAAGAGTTGACATAAAGAATGTTGAAAGGGAGACACTTGATGCAACTAAGGAGGACAAATAAGCCTGTGGTTTGTATTCTAACATTCTTGTGATGAAGAGATTATGCATTGATTGATACCATATTCTGAATAATTATGTTACCTCATCATTTGAAGATGATTAAGCACCTTCTTAATTCTCATATTTTATTTGGGCTCAATGTTAAATGAAGGTTTGGTTTGTTGCGAGGGAGGGAAAGGAGAGTTGGAGAAAATTAAAAGTACTACCTTTCTTTTTTTTTTTTTCAATTTGAAGAATAGTGATTCAAACTTGCTCTCCAAGTAGAAAGACATGCATATACCAATCATAGTTAAATTTACTTATTAATTATATAGAATTCTCATCTTTAATTTAATTAGTTTATTTTGCAAACCTCACATAAAAAACCTAATTGTATATAAGAAATTATGGGTGATTGTTTATGAGCATATATATGAGAATTGCGTTTAAGGTTAATGTAAAATTAAGATTAAAAAAATTAATATTGTAAAATTTAACTCTATTTTATTACAAAATAAATTTTTTTAATGACAGATTTTCATTGAAAGTAAGTTTTTATTAATAAATTGGATATATCTTATTAATATTTATAATAAAAAATTAAGATGATAATTTAAAAATATAATGAACATATATATCTATTTTCGTTAATTCAAAAAGTTACCTGCATTCGAGTTTATACATATATATTATCATCATCTTTTTTTTTTTTGCTAGAATATATACTATTATAGATATGTAATATTTTATTATAATATAATTTTATAAAAAAAACTAATAAAAATATAAAATTGTATTCCAATTATAATTAACAATTGAACAAAACTGAATTGTTATAAGTTTTTCCTAATTCTAACCTAATTGTGTTTCACTATAATTAATAAATAACAAATTCATTTGTTTTAGAAGAGAAATTCGTATATTTATTGTGAAAAGCCGAAGCTAGACAAATTATTTGCTGGACATTCATGAGTTGACTGTTGGTATACATACAATTAGAGTCCATCCCTACCGCCTTTATAATTAATTAAGATTGTAGAATTAATAGGTTTAATCAAGGATATACTTTCCTTTTCAATTGCCTTAATTGCCATAAATGTGTATAATTAAGGTAAATGCCAATAAGAAAAATTTCAGAAAGCAAACGATGATATAACATCTAAAAGCAAAAGAGTTGTTTATCAGTTTAAACTGTCCGACGAAACGCTTATAAATATATTACATTATCTCTTCAAAGGATTGCATTACTCTCTTCTACAAAGTAAGTATTACTATTAGCCATGAAGATTATTATCTCTTGTTTCTTTCTTCTCTTGATTCTCGTTCCTCTCTTGGCCTCATCTGTTGAGAAAAAGGTACTCTTTTTGTTTCTCGTGACTCTTTTGTTTTTCTTCTACTTCTTCCTCTTCCTGTTTGGGTTGTTAATTTTTTTCATGTAAAATATTACTATATATATTTTTGTCTATGTAGGTATATATAGTTTACTTCGGGGAACACAAACATGGGGAGAAGGCATTCCATGAGATTGAGAAAACCCACCTCTCATATTTGCATTCCGTGAAAGAATCGGAAGAAGATGCTACCTCTTCCCTTCTTTATAGCTACAAGCACAGCATCAATGGCTTTGCTGCAAGGCTTACCCCAGATGAAGCCTCCAAGCTCTCTGGTAATTCATTAGCAACATATATATTTCCTTATCTTCAATTTCCGGGATTGCTTTTTCAATTTTTTTTCTTATTTCTTTGATCATGGCAATACTACTAATGCTTTAATTTCTGGTGTTTGTTTGCCTTTATTTTTTAACAGGAATGGAAGAGGTTGTATCAGTGTTTCCTTCACATGGAAAGTACTCAGTGCAGACAACAAGGTCATGGAAATTTGTAGGATTGGATGAGGGAGAGGACCATTCATGGAATAAGTTTAAGATGGGAGGAGAGGACTTGTTGTCAAAAGCTAAATACGGCAAAAACGTCATCATTGGAGTAATGGACAGCGGTAAAATTTTATATTAATAATTAAAATTATGAATTCAAATACCCTCTTTCTGCAAATGATTACTCATGTGACTACCTCAACCATTATTGCTTCTGTTGAATTCAGAGAAACTTTGTTGCCAATAATTCATTTTCTATATATGTACATATAATTATTGGCTAATAATACTATACATGTATTTTATAATGAGTATGCCTTGGGATCTTTTCAATTTAGGCGTGTGGCCGGAATCACCGAGCTTCAGTGACGAAGGAATGGATCCCACCCCAAAATCATGGAAAGGAATCTGCCAAGAAGGGGTCGGTTTTAACTCATCTCACTGCAATAAGTGAGTAAATTTTCTTCTTGCTTTTTGCATCCATTGTGAGGATTTTTTCCCCTTTTTAATGGATGCTCTTGGTCTAATTAAAATCTAAATCTACCTATGCAAATTTGATTGCATTTGAGTTTTTTTTTTTTCTATTCTGCTTTTTAATAAAGGTCATGTACCTTCTTTTGACCAGAATTTATCTTTTCGTTTTTCTTCTTTCACTTGTTTTGAGATAAAAGTGTCAAAATCTCGTGAAAACAATGTCATCACAATCCGTTCTAATCCAACAATCTTTGGAGAATGGAGGACCATTTCCCTTTGGATTTGTACAGTCATTTTCTCTAATTATATCAAAGTTGTTCCTCTTCCATGGTCAGAAATTGAGTCATTTTCAAATGATAAGACATTTGCATTCGCATAGCATCATTTTTTTTTAACTTATTCAAAAAAGTATGGGAGAATCTCTCATGCCAACTTTGAAAATGTTGAAAATTATATTACAAGATAATCAATGTTATTGGATTGCCGGCCTTCCATATATTGACAGCCTTCACATGCCCTACAAAAGGTTGTCGTCTCTGGATTGTAACAATATTGTTATCGACCAAAAAAAAAGCAATATTGTTATGTTAAGAAGTTGCATCGATAAGCCCCCATTTGCTTGTCCCTTTCACCCAAAACAAGAAAGTAATTCTGAGTTAGTGTTTATTGCTTTTCTTTTCTTCCTTTTCTTCCTCCCATCTTGTGAGCTGTTATCACTCCATTGCTGCAGGCTTTGGGGTCAGTCTCTTTTGTTTTGGCCTATGTATTGTACAGAGCCCCACTCAGCCAGCTAGAAGGGCAAGGGCTCCGTGGAAGTGATTACTGATTGGTGACCATTTCTAGCCTTTACACTTAAACTCAACTATGGATTGTCTTAATTGTTTGGTTGATTTCAAACATTTCCTTCAATATATTTTTCTGGTCTACTAAACAATAGAACTAGCAATTAGGAATTGCTTAATGGCATAAAATATATTTTATAATTAGGTTTTATTTTGTGTTGTGCTCCCTTTAACCCAAAGAAAAAGAAAAATACCTTTGCATGAAGTTGAGCAATCCAAGATTATACAACTTTTTTGAATGTCATTACAAAATGAAGACCTTTAATGCTGTTGACACAGGAAGATAATCGGAGCCCGATACTATGTCAAGGGCTTTGAGAGCGCACACGGTCCAGTAAATGCGACTGAAGACTACCTCTCACCACGAGACATGGACGGCCATGGAACCCACACGGCGTCCACAGCGGCTGGCCGACAAGTCTCCAATGTTGCTGCCCTCGGGGGGTTCGCAAGAGGCACGGCCTCTGGAGGGGCTCCTTTGGCCCGCCTTGCCATATACAAGGCCTGCTGGGCGATCCCTAACCAACCAAAAGCCAATGGTAACACCTGTTTCGCGGAGGATATGCTAGCTGCCATGGATGACGCCATAGCTGATGGTGTTGATATACTTAGCGTCTCCATTGGAACTGCTGAACCTTTACCTTTTGAAGACGATACCATTGGTCTTGGTGCATTACATGCTGCAAAGCGCAACATCCTCGTGGTATGTAGTGCGGGGAACAACGGTCCTGCCCCTGGAACATTGTCTAACGCGGCGCCTTGGGTAATAACGGTTGGTGCTAGCAGCCTCGACCGAACATTTTTCGCTCCTCTTATACTAGGGAATGGCTTGAAAATTATTGTAAGATAAGATCAGATCATACTTTATAATTATGATATTGTTTTCATGCTCCTGATCATGCTGCTTCTTTCTTGTTTCTGTTTAATTCATATAAATATTCTTGTTCATGAATCATGATTTAATTTACTAGGGACAAAGTGTTACACCATACAAAATAAAGGAGCAGATGTACCCTTTAGTTTACGCTGGAGATGTAGTTGTCCCTGGTGTGCCTCAGAACGTTACAGGGCAAGTTTCTTTCCCTCTATATTTTTTTCTCTTCGATTTTACAATGTTATCTCATTTGAATAAAATTAAATCGGATGTTATTTTAGGCAATGCCTTCCAGGTTCCCTTGACCCTGATAAGGTGAAAGGGAAGATTGTGGTATGCTTGAGAGGGGCTGGACTGAGAGTAGGTAAGGGAATCGAAGTGAAAAGAGCCGGTGGTGTTGGTTTTATCTTAGCCAACTCCGAGGCCAATGGAAATGATGTATTATGTGACTCTCATTTGCTTCCAGCAAATGCTGTTACTTATGATGATAGGACTAAGATTCTTGACTACATCAACTCTACAAAGAATCCGATGGCAATGATCAGACCAGCCAGGACAGAATTGCACTATAAGCCAGCACCCTTCATGGCTGGATTCACCAGTCGGGGTCCAAATGTGGTTGATCCCAATGTTCTCAAGGTAATTTCTGAATCTAAATTAGTTAATAGTAAACATTAAGGGAGTTGATGTTTTTGTTGTCTGAGTTGAAGTTCTTACTCCTTAGGTCTACCCTTTGATGTTACATTTTATGTGTAGGATTTACTCAACTCATTGCCTCGTCTTCTAACTTGTCTTCTGATTTCTCCTATATACGATAGCCTGATATCACGGCTCCAGGACTTAATATTTTAGCAGCATGGAGTGAAGCATCATCTCCCTCAAAGATTCCAGATGATCACAGATCAGTGAAATATAACCTTTACTCAGGAACTTCCATGTCTTGCCCTCATGTGTCTGGTGCAGCTGCACTTCTCAGAGCCATACACCCCGATTGGAGCATTGCTGCTATCAAATCTGCTCTCATGACCACAAGTAATACTTCAGAATTCATTTTATGGCTCCTGAATAGTTACAGCCTTGTAATTTTTTTTGCTAGTCCCAAATTTTCTAAACCATTTCATTTCTATGTCACAGCTGGGATAACAAACAACATAGGTAGGCCAATTACAGATTCACTTGGCAATATTGCAACTCCCTTCCAATTTGGATCCGGCCATTTCCGGCCTGTTAAGGCAGCAGATCCTGGTCTCATCTATGATGCCTCGTACGATGACTACTTGCTCTATCTCTGCTACGCTGGCCCGAAGGCCCTAAAGGAAATTAAGTCAGCATTTAAGTGCCCAGATGAGCCACCTTCATCAGTCAACCTCAACTATCCATCGTTTGCAATTCCCAACCTTAATACCACTGTCGCTATTACGAGGACAGTCACAAATGTTGGTAGACGCAAAAGTAGATACTTCTTTACTGCGAAACCACCAGCAGGTGTCCGTGTTAAGGCCTCACCAAGTATTTTGCACTTCAACCGCGTAGGCCAGAAGCAGAGCTTCACCATTACAGTATCCCCAAGAAATGATCCCACGGCAAGAAAGTCTGAATATGGGTTTGGTTGGTACACTTGGGCTGATGGATACTATCATGTAAGAAGTCCCATGGCAGTTTATTTACCATAATTATAGGTTTTTCGTGCTTCCCTTTCTTTTTTTTTTACTATATTATTCTGGTCATTGAATGATTACAATGGCTATTGGACAATGAATTAGTATACCCTGTTTTCACGTAGTTTAGATTTTTTATATTATGAATTGTATAAAATTACTAATTTCTTTCCATAAATTACCCCATTTCCTATGTTACAGTTATTTTTAATTTTTGGATTATTGTTATTTTTTTTGTACATGCATGATGCAACATTCTAAAGAACAGAAAAAATTATGGCCCATACCAATGAACTATCAGAATCCTCAAACACATAATAAACATAATAAAGCCAAACAATTATTTACTGCAATTCAAAATTATTAAATCACCATGGCCAGTTCCATCGTCAACCACTACCTCGTTGCTATTACAGCCATTATCATCGTCTTACGCCACCTAACAACTTTGTGATGACCACCTTAAGAGGCATTCAAAGAAGAAAAAAACTAACTACCCCAGAATATTTTAGTGGCACCATTCTCTTCTCATTATAAGCTGTCTAAATATTTATTCCAACTTGTATGACTCCGAAACATCTTTTGAATCATTAATGATCTGAAGATATAATAGCCTTACAGAGACAAAATCTCATAATACGTTCTACATTAACAGCGAAAATTCTTTTGGCCCTCCCTCTGCATACATATCCCCAGATAATCGAAGAACAGGTTTGCAACATCCACGCCACGGTTATAGACAGGGATCAAGCGACCCACCAGAAATGATGAAACTATTCAAATAACATTCAAGCGAGGGTCACCTATCTGAGCAAAAGCAAATAAGAAGATGCCTTGTTGCTACAACCATGATTTCACTTTCCTAGTTGGCAATGTCCAACACAATAGACACAAACTTGTTTTATCATTGATGCCAAGAAAGTAGCACTCAATTTGATTGAATATCAATCTTCATCTGATGCAAACCTTTTTACTCTAACCCGTTCACCATTAAAGTGGATGCATTTCCATTTACTCAGGTATCTTCTAAGAACCAACTTCTGCTTGTCTTCTAGGCCAAGTTCCTTAAAGGCATGAGCCACTTTCCTGACCGTGTTTTCATCTGGTCTTACATGCAACTCCTCCATGTCTGCAAATACCTTCGAAAGGAAAAAAAAAAAAAAATGAGAACCAAAGCATGCTTTCACTTTATTTGGTACAAAATTCTCAAACACAATTACAAGAGTCAAATAAAAACTGCAGAACTGGTTTTGTATGGCACTTGGATTGGTGATTGACGTACCTCTATTATCTTTTCTTGCATGTTATGATGATCATATAATGAAATCATCCTAGAAAATAATCGCTTTGAGATCGAACGGGTGTTTGTATGCAAAACCATGTTCCACAATAATTCAGCCTCATCCACTCTATTATCCATATCGAATGCAAGTAGAAGGGTGTCATATGTTCCCATCGTAGCTCCTTGGCCTTTGCTCAACATCCATTTTGCCACCTGACCATTAGTGAGTCTGTAAAATCCAATTTAGCCCCACAAAATACTTACATAACTATGCCTGCAATTACAACTTAAATTATAGCATCCATTCAGTACAATCCTTGGACAAGTACAGGTTGAATCAGTAGAAGCATATCAAATAATCATTCAATCTTAAATTATAGCATCCATTCAGTACAAACCTTGGACAAGTACAGGTTAAATCAGGAGAAGCATATCAAATAATCATTCAATGAATCTTCCAGCATGAGCAAGGTATCTATTCACAAATAATAGCATTAGCTTCCTTTTGCAACACACATCGAGAAGATTTCATAAAATCAAATATGATGATACATGGCTACGTTAATATACATACACTGACATAAAATTGAAGAATATATATATCAAAGGCTTCCACATATTTAGCTTGAACCCGCAAAACAAACAAGAAGGTAACAGAAAATTATTAACCACATAAGCTTCCCTACAACAATGATACCAGTTTAGAAGATTAAAAACACAAAGCAAGAATACCAACATACTTGAATTACACGCAGCCATTGGCTCCTCTTCCTCAAAATTCGTAAAGCCTTAGCTGCTGCAATCAATGGAAACTCAGTCTCCCAAGCTGTCCATTTATCCAATGCTCCATAAACAGCCTCTTTTTCATTGGGAAGTTGAGAAACCTGTTAATTTCAACAAATTCAGACAAATAACCCAACAAAAATATTCACATATAGAATCAAAAGTGTGCATAGCTTTATCTTCAATACAACATAAAATAACTGAAAACAAAACAATGCTCAATCAACTGAAAATGATCAAAGTAGACTTACAATTCTAACAAGATTGAGTGCCTTTTGTCCAGAGCCAGCTGAATCTCTTTTCTTCCACAAGTGATGCTCATTCTTTCCCACCTTCTTCACTGGTTTCCTGCACACTTAAGAATTTTATGACTTTAGGTTTCTAAGTTGAACATTATCATTCAATACTTTGATAAATTGATTCAAATTTTTAAATGACACCCACTTCTCAATAGCTTTTGAAATGCCCAACGATTGTCCACCCAGCTTTTGGGAACATTTGAAATTGGGAATTCTGCAAATTGAAAACCCATAACCCAATAAAACAGCCACTTCATTTCTTTGAACCTGAAAAAGAAATTTTCAACCTTTTTCAATTACAAACATTGGGTGAAAATAAGGTGGCAAAATGAAAAAAAAAAAAATGATTCCTTGGAATCTCAATTCATCAACCTTGTTTTTGGGCCATGGAGAGAAAGGATAACTTATTGAATAAACACAACTAAGAGCCATTGATGCCCTTCTTCTTCATTAAAAAGAACCACTTTGAATTTTCAGCTTTGAACCAGTGAAAGTGTAAAACTACGAAGTTTCAGAGAGACTGAACGAGGGAGAGGGAGGGGGGGAGAGATAGAAACAGAGATCAGAGGATTTTTTTTTTTTTCCCAATATTTTAGCTGTAGAATAGTACTAATCAGGTGGGCCGTCTTTGGAGAACTATTGGGCGTCAAAAGGCTTGAAACTTTGAGCTGAAGAAATTTCCAATGAAGAGTATATTCAACTTTTTTCTCTCAATTTTTTTATGTTATTATAAGATTATTATGATAATATAATTACCAAATTAAATTTGTTATCAAAGTAATCTTATCATTTTTAATTTAAAATCATTTTATTTGATTAATAATTATTAATTCTTAAAAATTAAAGATCATTGTATTTGTTTAAAAAATATAAAAATAATCATGCATATTCTAATAATTACAATGTTAATAATTTTAATATTGTTAAATTAATAAATATATCTATTGATAAATAAATTAATTTTTATAATATAAATTATGTAAAAATATTTAAATTAAAAAAATAAAACTAATCTATTAAATTTATAATAAGAAAAAATCTAAAATATATATTATATAAAATATTAAAAAATAAAAAAATTATTTTTGAAATTATTTTTAAACTTATTACAATAAATATTTATTTAAAAATATAAAAAATTATAACTTTAACTGGAAGCAAGTTTTTTTATTTACATATTAAATGAGTAATATTAACTATTATTAATTTTATATATCATTTCATCTTAATGATAAAAATTTTTTATCTTTTTGTATAAAAATTAAATTAATATTTAAGATAATAATTTAATTACTTTCAGTAATCAAATTACAGGAACATAAAATCATTAAATATTTACCAAACAAAATTATTTAATCATTATAATTTTTATAGTGATTATACCGTATCAAATACTACCTTAATTATTTGCATAGTCACGCATGAACATGAGTAATCGTCCCAACTTCCAATCCTTTAATCATTTTTAAAACTTGTTTAATCGACCGAAGCTTGTATAAGAAGTGTTTGTTGAAATAGAGCTGTTCTAAAAGTATTCTAAACGTTATTGGAAAAGAACCGTTTTAAAAGTATTCTAAAAAGAAATAAAATAACATTTGACAAATTTCATACGAAAGTGCTAAAGAACGTAGAAAAAACAACAGATTCAGTTTGGCAATATTGCAACTCCCTTCCAATTTGGATCCGGTCATTTCGGACCTATTAGGGCAGCAGATCCTGGTCTCATCTTTGATGCCTCGAATGATGACTAGCTTCTCTATCTCTGCATAGCTGGCCCCAAGGCCCAAAAGGAAATTAAGTCAGCATTTAATCTTCGTCAGTCAACCTCAATCATCCACCGTTTGCAATTCCCAACCTTGATGGCACTATCACTATTACCGGGACAGTCACAAATGTTGGTGGATGCAACACTTGCATACTTCTTTAAAGCCAACCAGAAGTCCGTGTTAAGGCCTCACCAATTGCTTGTACTTCGACCGAATAGGCCAGAAGCATATTGTAGTTACAGAAATTTTTTTATTATTATATAAGAGTGTTTTTTTATCATAATTTTGAATTGAATTATTTAAAATTAAATTAATTGAATTATATTATATTTTTTTATTTAATTAATTAAAATTAATTTGATGATTCAGTTAATTTTTTATTAATCAAATAATAAAATATATTAAATTATATTGTCTTTTTAATTCTTATTTTTTCATATGTTAAATAAATTAAATAAAATTATCCAATAAAAATATTCAAACATAATAATATTAAGTTCAAAACTCTAATAATTTAAAATGAAATAAAAAATTTTATATATAGATTTTATAATATTTTATTTAAATTTTTATTAATTCAACTTTCAAATGAATTAATGAAAAATTAAAATTTCTTTAAAATTAATTTTGATAATATATCCAAATTAATTTGATCATCGATCAATTAATCAAATTAAATCAATTTAATTAATTAATTTAATTAAAATCGAATTACAAATACTTAATATTATTTTTTACTATTCTATATCTTTTTCAATTTGTAACAGCAGATGTAGAGAATATAGAAAATAGTTTCAGGTCATTGGATTAGAATTAAGTACAAAACTCTGTTCAAGGGTCTGGTTTAGAATTCCTTTTCTAATTGTATAAAATTACTGTCTTTCTATTAATTACATAAAAAAGACTATTATTTTATAAACAAATGGTAAAATTTTTAAATTTCATCATCACATATTTTTTTATTCTTTTTAAAATATATCTAATACGATATGTATGATCTTTTTGTCGACGAAGTTTTAGACTGTGTATAGGATAAATTTCCAACTACTTAAAAACAAATGAATAACCAAAAGTCCTTTTGGATAACATTCTTGATAAAGAAGATAATTTATGGTCAAAAGAAAAAAAAATTCAACACCTGTCAAATCTTCATTTATGTGTTTAACTAAAACTCTATGGAAGGAATAATCTTATTTGCATGAGGTTTGCCCTTACCTATTAAACCACTTAAAAACATAAAATCAATGGAACCTAATGACTTTTTTCTTGAAGAAAATTTGCAATGGTAAAAGTTTCAATTTCGTCCTCTGAAATAGTAAGAAATTTAAAAGGATGGAAAAGTATTAGTATATTAATTACTTATGTTTGATAGGCAATGAATAATTCAAAGGATAAGATAAAAACCCAAATTTTTCCAACCTTATCTAGTTCAGTTAACTTGTTAAAACATTATTCTAATTTTACAATTTTAAAAATTTGACTCTTAATATTTATAATTAATATTTTCTTTGATCGTAAGTGATTCTAAGATTTTATTTAATATTTTTTTAATTGATTTAAATATATTTATTTATATCGAATTCAATAAATTTATAAAAATTTATATTTTCACAATTTATCGATAAATTTGAAATCACTCGATGACAAAATAAAACATTCGGTTTAAAAAATTTATAAGAAAAAAAATAAAAACACAACTGTTTAAATAATTAAAAAAAAAGATTGACTTTTTGGCTAGGTAACGTCAAATTAAATTAAAAGTTTCAAATGCCAAATTGGCCAAAATTAAGCAACTCCTAGCCAAATCCTAATGCCGTGACACAAACTCTCACAAACCAATTAAGCCGAAAATTTCAGGGATGAGATTGAAGTCAATATCATAAACTTTCAGAGGGAAAAAAAAAAAAAATTCAAAGAGAGCGACCTTTGGGTGGGAGGGTCAGGTGTCATTTTCTTTAAAAAGGAGATATGTACGTCAAGTACCCAAGTTGGGGCCAACCCCAATCGTAGATGTTGCTTTTCTATAAGACCACGTCTTTGAAATTTTTGTTTTTTTTATCCCAAAATCCAAAATGAATTAGTCTTACTCTCTGGTCTCTTCCCCACTAATTGTCATAAACATTAATTTCTGATGGCAACATTCCTTTGATATCAAGGACAAAAGAAGGGAAAAGGATAGAAAATTTGATAAAACATTAAGGGTTGGATCAATTTTCTAGCAAGAAATCTAGTGTTAACTCTAAAGCCCCTAGCTAGTTAATGGCCCTTTTAGATGTCTTGTATTTTATGACTATCATTGGATTAGATTAGCATCCCCTAGCCCTAGATCGGCTTTTAATGATCCTTGTAAGCATTCCTCTCTTCAATTTGTGAATGGTCATTTTCAAAAAAAAGAAAATGTATATATTGATCATTTGGAGGGAATTTTAATTAGTTTAAACACTTTACAATCATGTCTTTTTTTTTTTAACAAGATTCCAATTACAAAAAATATATATAATATAATAATAAATCTCAAATAAAAAATCAATGAATTTAATCAAACAAGCAAATCATATATATAATTAAATAAATTCAATGTAAAATTAAATCAAACTCACAACATGATAAAAGCTTGAATTTGAGATTTTAAATTTTCAAGACATTTTATTTATCATTAAAACAAAATTTATTTTACAATTATACAATCATTTTTGTAAGATTGTTAATTAGTTTTTATTAAAGGGAATGCTAACTATATTAACTTTCAATTTTTTCAATTTATAATTAAATGCATACATGATAAACATATCAAATATAAAAAAAAAAAATTTAAACTTACGCCTTTCACCCAATCATTTGTTTGAATTGTTAATTGTTAGTTACAGCATTTTTTGGCTTGCTTCAGCCAAGCTACTTCCCCTTTGATTCCGCTTCGTTAGCCAGATTTACCCCCCCCCCCTCTCTCCTTCCATTTTGATCCCAAAGGACAAAATTTCACATAAATCAATTTGTTTGGTGAATTTGTAAAAATTAATTATGTGATTCACCTTCTTGATAATAAATCAATGATCTGTAAACTTATTTAAATTTGATTACAATAGTTCTAATTACAATATCCAAGTATAAAAAATTTGCAATATTCAACTTTTTTTAGTAGTATTAATGTAAATTAACACATACTAAAGTTTGTACACAAAAGGAATTGAATTTTTTTATATAAAAAAGTTTTGACTTTGGAACAGAAAAATTGATTGTAAGTATTGAATTCAAAACTCTATACTTTTAGATATTACTTTTTAAAAATAGTTATATAAATCAATTGAATTAAATTTTGAATTTATAAATAAAACTGATTTAGAGTTCTTTTTTTAAATTAATAGATTTTGCATTTAATTTTATGTAATTAGTTATAAATTTTTGTATACAAATAAAAGAGTTGGATTAATTGGTTGAACTCGATCTTTTTGGTACGAAATATTTAGATTCGAAACTCATTGGTGGCTCTTTGTTTTATTAATCTCAAATGCACAACTACCAAAACTTTCTTAGATGCATAGCATAGATATTTATTTTGGTATAGGTTTGGAGTAATCTATTTGCCCTAATTTTATGTACAAAAAATTACTTTTTTTTTTCCATGCAGTCATAACTTTTCTAATTAAATGTATGAATTATTATAAAAAATTATATATTTAATAATTGCGTAAATAATCATATATAAACATTTTTGTTTATAAATGAGATTGTAATTTGAAAATAAGAGAAGTGCTTGTAGATTTTAAAATTCGAGTTTCAGATTTATTAAATATTATCTCTTAAAAGTAATTATATGAATCAATTAATAAAGTTTCGAGTTTATAAACAAATATTATTTGAATATAAACATTTTGCAAAAAAAATTATCGAAATCCTACCAAAATCGATCTTTTATCATCACCAAAACAACCAAACATAAGGGTGTTTCTGTTTGTTGCTTCATGATTAGGAGATTATGTTGACACCATTACACAAGGCTAGACTTTTCTTGCCATTTAAATGTTTAGTCTAAGGTGACACCATTTTTTTCTCTAGTAGCCATGTGGGGAAGAAATTTCTGCCCTAAATCAAGACATATAATCATAAAAAAGTTAGTCGTGTATATATTCCAACACATCTTCAAGCCCCAACTAAGATTGGTCAAGTGCCCAGAAGTGATGTCGGACCAGAAGGAAACATATATGGCATGCTTGTAAGAACTATAAGGAACTTATCCTTATTGTTTCAATTATTATAACTAAACAGTGGAAGTTAAAAGCCTTGAAAAGTTAAATTTCGACTTAAATATCAAACACAAATCAACAATTAAAGCAAACCCAAATATCATTTAGTTGTTTTTAGTTCCAAATATTAATCTCATGTCAATACCATTTGATCTATTAATAAATTATTAAACTTTTGATTTTAATGATTATAGTTTGATTTCTAACACTTAAAGTATAAAAAATAAAATAAAAATTAACCACATATTGTGTGGCAAAATGAGAAAAAAAAAAAAAAAACCCAATAACAGTTAAGCCAATTTTGTGAAACAATAAATTAGCTGAAGAAGTTACACTAGAGAAAGCCTAAGCCAAAAGAAAAGGAGACGAGATTAGGGAAGCTTTGTTTTAGGCAGCCGACTGCATAACCTACGCAATCGAAAAACACACGCACTAGCCCAACCTAGACAGACATATTAATTAATAAACGTTGAAGCGGGCGATATCTATAAGTGTTTGATATTGTATTTTTAGACAAAATATTGTTTGCCATATATATTAATTATTTTTTTATAAAATTTAAAATTTAAAATTTGTATTTTATAAATTAAAATTTCATCTCTAACAATTTTAATATTAAAAAATAACAATTCAAAAAATCAAGGATCCATATGTGGATAATACACATTTTAGTTGACTTAGCGTATGTCTAATTGTTTTGTTTTGAAACAAATCTAGGAAACAAATCCTCTTTATTCAGTTATTCATATATTAACAATTGATAAATAATAAATTATCAACGAGAATTGACAAAAATAATAAAAAACAAATGTTGAATGCATTAATATCTAAGTTTGAATCCTCTCAACTCTTTCGATAATAAACGATTTATAAATTTAAAAAATTTTCGGATGAAAATTTAAGAATTCATAAATTTTAATTGAGTTAATGATTTATTCTAACTTTAAAGATGAGTTAATCTCTTTTACTTTTAAATTTTTTTCAACAAAAAAAATACTGAATCTTTTTGATTGGGTCCGAGAAGGGAAACAAAGTTGGAATTCCACCAAAAGCATATTATTGAATTCACCCACCCTGATAATATCTATTTTGAGAAGGCGAGGTGCAAACGTCCTAATTGCAAAATTTTCTCACTTTTGGGATTGAGAATAAGTAAAATTTTTATTAGATTCTACATTTATGATCAAATTTGAATATTACCAGCAAATGATCGGAACATGAAACTGACTTTTAATATAAAAATAATAAATAATTAAACAAAAATACAAAACTTGAAAGATAAATAGATTATGTGGAAGGAAAATTTAACTTTTTTTTATTATTATAGAGAGAGGAAGCGGGGACCGCACTCAACGCCTTTTAGATGACGCCATCTCTTCTCAAACGCCAATGTAAAAAACAAAGAGTGTACTCACTACGATTTAGATTCTCTACTATAAATTTTCTTTCTTTTCCTTTCGTTTTCCCCGTGTTCCATTCCCCTCCCTTTGCAAAACTTTCCTCTCTTCTTTTACAAATTTATCAGGACAATCTAATCTGATCTTCCATTCCCCTTTTCATGGCTGACGCAGAATTCCAAGAGTCTGACGTTATATTTTCCGACCACAGCAGCAAACATTACAGCGAACATGACGAGGATGCTGCTGATAATGATGATGGGCACTTGGATTACCAAGGATTCTCCAAAAACGGCCCTGTTTCACGTAACTACAACAAGAAGTCCAGGAAAAATAATTCCAAGAAGAAGTTAGCCTCCGGTTCGCTTCCTGTTAACATTCCACGCCATCATCACGGTGGTAGTGTTTTTCATTGCGGCAGTGAAGCTGATGATTTTGAGGAAGATGAGGAAGGGGAAATAGTGCCTCCCCATGTGATTTTAGGAAGGAGAATTGCTGGGAAGATGGCGTTTTCGGTTTGTACTGGCAATGGAAGGACACTTAAAGGAAGGGATTTGAGTCAAGTTCGCAATTCAATTCTTAGAATGACAGGATTTTTGGAAGCATAACCATATTCAAATCTTCTCCCTTTTTTTTTTCTTTCTTCTTTTGGTATTCATTTCACAATTCAGAAATGAACTGGGAAAAATTTGCTTTCCTTTGTTATTATCAGGGCTTTTTTTTTTCACTTTTTTATTCATTGTGACAGGAAAAAAAATGGAATTAATTATAGTAACAGATAAATATTGATGAGTTTCAACAATTAATAGTATTTCTCTTTGCTTGTGATTGAATCTCTCAGCTTGGAGGTTTTGTATCAAGCAAACATACTGCAAAATTCCAGCTTGGTTTGCTTTTGTGTAGCTTTTAGGATATGTGGAGGGTTAGGCAACCTCGGCACCGCCATCCCCAAAAAAAAAAACTGTTGGAGGCTTTGTCTTGATATTGGACATAACCCCAGCAGGAATAGCTGGTTTTCTGATTGCGAGAGGCTCAGAGATCGAAACTTTTTTGCCAGAGACTTAAAGCAGAAATGAAAACAGGATTCCTGGATTTAAAGTGAACAAGAAAAAAAAAAAAAAACTGTCGTTTTCTTCCAAAACTACTACAACTTTAGCTTCTTATTATAAAGGCAGCTACCTGTTTTTAACAAACTACAGCCATTTTAAAAGACTGTATTGTCCTGGTACAATAGAGTTGAGATTTGTTTTTCTCGTAGGACCGACTTTAGTATATAGGATATGCAGAATAATTTGGACATGTGATTTCTATAAAGATCAGCATAGTTTAGTTTTGTTGAAGTTGATATCTATAAAGAATTTAAAATTTAATTTAATTCATTCGTATAATTATTTTAAGATTTGACATTCAACGCTTTAAATCTCAAACATTTCTAATTTTTTTTTCTTGTTTCTAGTTATAGCGTATTTTATAAAAAGAATAATAATAATGACAATTGACAAGTGCTAAGTACTTTTTTTTTTTTCGTTTACTGTAATAACAACATGAGAATTAGACCTTTAAGCAGGGAGTCAAACAAACTTCTTTTGAGGGGATCTCTTCGGATCTCCAAAAAAAACTACTTGACACCAGGATTTTGGGATCGATCAAACTTTGTTCGTCCTTTGCAGCAATTGTGGGTAGGAAAGGGGCCGTTACATAGATGAACTTTTATTACATTCATGAGGAATAATAATAAAGATTGAAGATGCCTACATTTGTTTGCTGTAAAGTTGAAATTTTCTGTTAAAGAAAGGCTCAAGTTTCCAAGATGAGTTGCAAAATTAAGTACGTTTCCCACATTCATGCATATTCACCAGAAAAAGTTATCATTACATATCATGAAAATTAAAGAACCCAGAAGTTTGTTCTTTTGCTTTATTTCTATAGATTGCTTATCTCTTAATTAGTTTTCCATCTATTTTTTTGTTTTTTAAATTCCTTTTAATTCCTGTTCATGCACATGTTCAACTTGTCTATTTACTTATAAATTGTTTCATCTTTCTTCTTTCACATTATTAATTGTTAATTATAATAATTTTTTTATTTAAAATTTAATTCAGTTAATTTTTATATTTAACGGATAGAAAATTTAAATTTTAATAATGTAACTCATTTTTTATCTTAAATTGTAGCTTTTTTATAAATTTTTTTTTTTCATTGTTAATTCAATTAAAGAAAACAAAATTATTTTTTTTGTGTTCTGGGTTTGTTACCCAACAAATGCTCTCCCTTTTGTTAAATTCTCTCTTTGAAAAACCAAGCACACATCATACAAAAAAAATGAAGAGTCAATATGCCTTAAATTTATAGACTTATTGAGGTAACTAGTTCAATACGTGCATAAAATGCATATTGTAGTAAATGGTGATAACAATATAGATTGAATCAAATTTAATTTAATTTTTTGAATAATATATGGTAATATAAATTTTAAAATTTAAACCGGTTTTTACTTGAATTCAATTTAAAAAGAATTCTATCAATTTGGTTCATTAATTTTTAATTTTAATTTTTTTTTTGTTTTTGTATATTATTTTAATATATTTAAATATAAAATAATTATTTTATAAAAATTTAAAATATATAAAAATTAATAAAAATATATAATTTAATTTGATTTGATTTTTTTATTTTTTATATTTTGATTCAAAGTCTAATATAAACTTAATATATATATTTAATATTTGAATTTAATTAAAATTAAATTAAAATAAATAAAAAATAATTCAAATTAAATCAAATCAAATACTATAATTTCAAGTCGATTTTTAATTTTTTTTATTTTTTTCTTTACAATAATCGCCATAATTTTTATGGCAATCCTTCTTTTCAAATACCGAAAAATAATTGGGGGATTGGTAAAATCTAAAAATAATGGCAGTGATGATTTAGATTGTCTAGCTATTTCAGGCAAATGGACACGACACTACATTGCATATGCAATTTAATAAAATAAAAGCTTTTTTCCTAACATTTTTTTTTTTTAATTTTGAAAAGAAATATGATTACCTTCTTCACTTCAATTAAGTACAATTTCCCTTTTCATGAAAAAAAAAAAAAGAAATAGAATCAAAGTTAGAGCTACTAAATCATTATAAGTAAATTCAACAATTAATAATTAAACATGTTCCCCAACAATAGTACCTAATAATGTTTATATTCTACCATGTCATTATCCCTTTGTTTTTTTTTTTTTTAAGTACTAAAATCATTATTATATTATTATTTTTATAAAAATATAGAATAAAAAATTACATATATTAAATATAAATTTATAATTATATAAAATAATTAAATTATTAAGTTTCAAATTCATTATTATATTACATATTAATATCATTTATTATTATTTTTTAAATCTTGATGACAACTGAATCAGCTGCACTCGTCACGTGTTCACAATTATGTGGATAAAAAGTAAACCAGAAATATTTTATGTTATATATTGCTAAATTAATATTAATCAAATCGTATGAGTTTTGATTAAAATAATATTAATTAATAAGTCAATAATTAAATTGTGAGTTTGGGATAGAATTGACAACGAAGCCACGTGTGGTGCACGAGGTTATTGTGAATGATTCAGACCAATCGTGTCAGATAAAAAAAGACCAAACAAATTGAGAGATCATTCACGTCTCATTAATGACGTGGATCACATCACAGCCATAGATTCTTTAAACACAAATTTTTTTGTCAAATCATGATTCTTGATTAGTGTTTTATTTCTCTTCGGTGTCGGTTTTCTTTCTCCTATGGGACACGAATATGTTGTAAACCACTGTTGTAAAACAATTCCAAGGGCAAATTTGAAAGTGTATGCAAAACAACAAGCACTTATTTTATTCGAGAATGTAGAAAATTTTATGAATTCCCTTTTCACTTTCCTTCAAGAAAAAGTGAAAAAGAAAAAAAAAATCATCAAAACCACATTCAAACAACTTCCAATTTCCACAAAAACAAAAGAAATCCAAACGGATAAAGTTAGTAGAAGATGCTTTTTCAATTCCACAAGAATAAACCTTCCATGCAGCTAATGCTATATATTCCTAACACTTGTTTTGGGAAACGTTGTTATCACACAAAAGAAGAAAGAAAACAAATACCCAATGATATATATATATATAGTCAACTAGATTAAGATAAAAAGATAATTGATGTAAAACAGAAAGAAAGAAAGAGAGACGTGTTGCAAAGAATTCCTTGTTATTTGGGCTACTGAATATAATTGGAGTGCACTCTAGGAAGTATTTTAATATACTTTAACGTGAAGGTTTTGATTAGGACATGTTATAGTATAATATCCAGTTTTTCATCAAGTAAAAACATAACAATTGGGAACTGGTTTTAGAGACTTGGTGGTACCAAAGTACCAACCTTATCCATTTGGTTTGGTAAAGGATCATAGTTAAAAACTTTTTAATTAGTAGTGAATGATTGATCTTTGACCACTTTCCAGATTTATAAATCAATTGATAACAAATGACTAAATTTTCATTTGAAGTTCTATTAAGGGTAAAATCATAAAACGTATTTTTTGATAATGTAAGTGTTTTTAATAAAACTCTCAAATGAACCTTAAATTAAGATGCTAATTCTTGAGAAATATTATTTGCTTATAAAACGTGCTATATTTTTTTTAATACTCTGATCAACTTTACATTCAGTAATCAAGATTAAATTTTTAATAACTTCAATTGCTAAAAAACAATTAGATAATCAGTCTAGAGTGATAAACTCTTAAATCTAATAATCAAAATTTAATTTCTAATAATCTCAATTATTAAAAAAAAAAAGGCAAAATATATATATATAAAACAAATTATAAATTATAAATAATGAATTCTCAGAATGTATCTTTTTGTTTACTGATATTTTTAACTTTCAAAATAGGGAAAAGTCTATTAACCAAAGTCTAAATGGTGAGCTTACTGAATTAAATCTCTTCTTTTATTTTCTGCTATATTTAATGAAATGAAATGTAGACCCTAAGTTTCATTTTTGCATGAATTGCTAATATTATGTGGGCCAAGTTCCCTGTGAATGTCATTACCTACCTTGGACTAACAGTACGTGCCGACCTGGTGACAACTCATTAACCCTTTATCAATTATAGCACGCCAGCCGAATAGCCAACACTTGAATAGAAAAGAACCACCAAAATTGGAAGTTCACGACAGGCTCTCGTCAGCCCCTTGCACTAATCACGTTATCAAGATCAACAAGACCAATCACCATATGTATAAGACGTTCCATAACAACAAAATACATATACCGTTAACATACGACCGGCTCGTCTCTTCCCTTAAAAATCAAACCACACAATAAAGTACGATGTTAATCAGAGAAAAATCTGTGGGATTCAGATTTTAGACAGGCAGAATTTTAGCCCAGAAAGCAACTTTAATGAACAATAACAATTAAAAAACCAATGTTGTTGGCATTTTCTTCAGTCAGGAGCTCCATATAAATGAAAATGAAAAAAAATGGTACATGCTAGCATCTTTTCTTGAAGACAAAAATGCAGCTGGCCTCAATTCATTTAAAGTCCTCAGCAGGCCAACATCATGAGCATTTTGAAAGGCTGAAACCACGAATTTCTCTATATGAAAACCATTGCAAGGAAAACAACTTTAAATAAACATGAATGAAGGTGAGAATGTCAATGTCACTTACAATATCAACAGATTAATGGACTTAAAGCACCAATAGCCACGGCGACAGAGGATTTGACTGCTTAGCCACTACGAAATTCTGCACTCCTGCTAGATATTACCAAAACTCAAAATCTGCGTGATGCTAATGTAGCCTTCTTGTTTTTTGGTACATAAGCAAACTGGCTAAGATCCACAGAAGCAGATGACCTTCAATGGATAAAAACCAAGTTTTAACTGATGAATGCTAGGAAAATAACCTTTAAGTGCAATTCACTACAGGATAAAGATGTAATTCTATTTACCTATTGCTACATGTGTTCTTAGCATCTTTCAAAGGGGCTCGAAGACCGCTAGCACGAGAACCAGGTGATGAAAATCTAAATGAAGATATTACGGAAACAAATCTTTCCATGGATTTCTGAGCTATGTCAGAGTAATGGCCTAAATGTGAAATGTTTGATCCAAATTTTGCCTCTCCAGCTTTTGTCTCCAGTAATGCTTCAAGATTAGGATCACAATGACCTACAAATAAATAACAGGTAAAAACTATTACCTTTTGTGCTAAAGTTGGACTGTGATAGCCATATAAATAGCACTAAGCAAGACTGGTTTAGTTTATCCATCAATAGTAATAATGCCAGATGAATGTTCAGTAATACTTGACCATTATTTGACTGGCTTCAATCTTATTTCGCATTGTTATCAGTGAAGCAAAAAGCCGATAAGTTATGTTCACTAATAACAAGCAACATAATCAAGCAATATAAATATGTTTCCACTTTTAGCACAGTGACGCAATAAATAAGGTTCCAAAGCAAACACAATGAGAAATGAAATAATACATAAGAATTAGACCAAAATCTATGACTATAATGGGAAGGGGAGGAATGAATGAATGAATGATATTAGATAAAATGGGCAACAATTACAATGAAACATAAGCATGCAAGTCTGTTGATTAAGATGATTTAAAGTCAAAATGCTGTTTTAAGCATTGCTCCATTAATCAGCTTCTCTGTGATAAAAAGATCCCGCATCTACTGACAAACCAAATTTCAAATATATAGTTCATTAAGAGCTTTCATAATCAATGCTTACCATTATCATCAAAGGATACATCCATGTAGATTTGCTTGGGATTCACATTTTCCTGAAAAAGCTAAAATTAGAAATAAAAGAAAAGAGTATTATGAATTATGAAATGAGGAAAAAAAAAAGAAGGTGAAAGCACTGACTGTTTCAACACATTCAAGTGATGAGTTCTTCCTTTTTGAAGTCATTCCCTTAAGATAGGTATTCCTGTAACTATCAGGATTGCCACTCTTAGGAAAGTCATTGGCAATACCACCCTTGCTACAAAATCTTACTTGCTTATCTTCCAGATCATTCTCGTTAACTTGCTTCTTCTGAAAGAAGCGACTTTTTACAATGACCTTTCTGCTCTCTGTTATTGTTTTGCTTTTAGCTGCATCTAGGATAATACTGTAATCATGCTCCTTGCACGAAGCTGCAGAAGGCCTATGTATTGACTGGCCGGATTCTAGCAGCAATGCATGGTCAAGGCTTCTCATCTCATCCACTGTGGCTTTTATGTTCATGAATACTCAAAGTAAGCATTAACTCATGGTAGAATTATAAATCTATCAAGCATATATCCTTACCTTGACTTGGAGATTCTGAGTACTCAAGAAGCTTGGAATTAAAACCATTTTCTACCTGCAGGATTTGAGGCAGAAAGCATAAAAATTTTGAAAACCATTTAAATGAACTAAAATTTGTCGTAACTCTCACTTGTGTCACTCACCGAGTTGTTAGTATTCTTAGAGTCAGGTAAGGATGACAACAAGGTATCAATTTTGCAAGCAGCATCCTCCATGATAATGTGTTCGTCAGGACTGATAGAAGAATTAGCAACCAGACTTGAATGCTTAGGTGATACCCGAGGGGCCCTGAAGTTTCTTTTTGCCTCAAGAGATGCAAAGCCTTTAGTTGCTAAGGAACAATGGTAAAAAAATAAAGACAAAGAAGAAAGCAAGAAGAGAGAATCACCCAAAGGAAGTAAATGGTGAGAAAGGCAATTAGATATAACTATTAAGACATTAGTTTATATAAATATGTCGCTTTGGCTCCTCAATACACTTATCACAATCATTTTAGATCTTCCATATTTGTCTGAAATTCTGAATGCAATCTAGCCTTCTACCAGCTCCTTTTCTGTCATAGTGGTACTTGTTTCTCCCAAGACCCCGCTCTTTGTAACCATTTTGGAAGAATTGCATAGATTTCCTCAACCAAGAAAAGTGAGCAATTTTTTTTGGGCCAAGAAAATGAGCAAATAAAAACATAGCATAAAGAACACCAGTAAATTTGTTTAATTTGCTAGAAAATAGACACACAAGCAAGGTTATATAAGAAGAGTGTAACGCGGAGAATAGAAACTGTCTAATCTTCCTCAGAGAGATTATTAAAATGCCAGAAAAAAGAATTCTCTACCATGAAAAGATGCCCCCTTTTGTATTCTTTTAAAGTGTGAAACAAACTAGATTGCTTCATGATAACTGCATAACGCTCATTCTATCTCCATTTGTATTTTTTCCCCTAAAATATGCAATAAACCAAAGCTAAGAGAAATTAACAGGAGGGGATACAGAAATAGTTGGTCAGAAGGTTCTTCTGCACAGGCAAATCTAGCTTTTTCCTTTCACTCTCAGGTTTAAAACTTTTGGGCTGTAAATTTCTGTTGGGCACCGGCTGAGAACTATCACTCACACCCTGTTAAAGAAGACCAAGCATTCAAAAGTAAATGCTAGTAGTGGAAATGATGAAAGAAAAATATAGAGTTGAAAAGTAGATAGAACAATTACCTCAAATGGCATTTGCGTAAATGGATCAAGATCACCTCTTGCTATGCCTTGAGCTATTTGTTGGGGTATTGGTGTATTCCAAATTAAGGTTTATCAAAAGTTTCTCAATATAGGGAGTAATAAAAAAAGGATTAACTAATATGATAATTTCTTAAGGATATGGGCCTAAAAAGTCCAAATCATCACCAGCATTGCTGGATATGTCAGATAAATGTACTATGTCTTCAGTGATTGGATCATATACTCGTTGGTGCTGAAAGGTTAATATTGCTTTCTTGAATGATTCTTCATAAAGAGGAGGAACTGAAACCGTATTGTACCTCAGGTGCTTGATCACCTGACAGGAAAAACATCACTTTGTGTATAAGAGAAATCATTCAAACCAGTGACAGAGACATGAAGAATTAGTATAATCAAAAGAGAAGATATGAAAGAGTGCTTAAAAATATTACAAGCCATTACCATCATTTTCTCTAACAGCTTTCCATAGTTTATCTTGTTAAAGATATTCAATCTATTGGGAGCATTACTGATGGTACTCACCTTGTCATAACTTTTGAACTTTTTGATAAGTGCATGGGCCCTTCTCAGACCCATTCCTGACAGTGATTGCAAATAGTCACAACCACTCAGGATGCACATCTCAAGCAGCGTCTGTTTAGTGAATCCGGCAAAGCTTAGATCCTTGTTTTGCTGTAGCATGGAAGACTTAAACTCAACACCTTGCCCAAACTTGTCCATTTTAAAGATAACCTGCATTAGATAAAGGATAGTAACACTTTAGAGTCAGAAAGATGAAACTAGAAAAGCACAAAATCAAGTATCTTTTCCTTGAAAACGTTAGAGAAATTGTTTTATGAAGTTAAGAATAATCAATTGCTACAGAACTCACTCTAGGACAGCCAAAGGGTATAAGATCAGAGTCCTCAGTGATGACAGCATCAACCTGTTTGCTGATGGCTAAGAAAGTCATTTGTGCATCAGCCTCATAAGGTGCCACAACATAACATACATTCTCCTGCTTCAAGACCTTCCACAGCCAACCATGTCAACAGAGAAAGCAAAAAACAGTATAACATAAAGGAGTCTTTGAAGATTGGTTCCTTCTAGAAATCTAACAAGACCTCTTTCACAATTCATTACTTACCATGATTAATTCATGTGCAATTGAAGGTGAAATGTCAACAGCTTTTTGGTAGCACTCATAAGCAGCAGTAGAATTTCCACATGATTCATGCTCGACCGCTCGTGCAAGATTTTCCTTCCTTGCCCTGCATTTTTGAGGCATAAAACAGAAATTCAAATGAACCCATAATGAAGTCAATGTATATCATGCAAAACTAGGCCCTAACATCTAAAGTAAAGAGAGCAATAGAGAGGGGAATCACAACAGAGCACCCAAAAAAGGCAGGTTGAGTTTGTACATTCTGAAATATACATTTCTTTTAGTGGTTGGCTGACTATAATATGAGGCATTCATGTACTGTGAACCAATATTAGTACCTTAGAGAAGGGAACTTCATCATATGAAGCAATTTGAAAGAAGAAAGCACATAACTTCTCCCACACCAAGTCACAGAGCCTATCTAAAATTCTCGTTTCAGTCTTATTATAAACCATGGAGTCAAATATGACCCAAAATTTTGACCATGTGAAAGCGAGAATGATCAGTGAGAACAACTTATAAACAGCTGGTGAACGATGAAGCAGAACTACACGTATAGGAAGACACATCAAATATATGTTAAATACATAAACTTGACACCTAAAGTGGATAGGCAACTGATGCAAAAGAACAACACAATGTAATTAGGACTGCAACCTTTTAAATTGTTTACCAATTTGCTTAGTTGAATATAAAGAAAAGACTAATCCATATTTTTCTTAAAATCCAAATCAGGTTTAGCATTTTAGAAAAAAATATTTAACATACCTTGCACGCTTGTTCTCTTGTTCAATCTTCATCGGAAGAAGACCTCCATCAAAGACAAGAACAGGTTTAACACCATAATGTCGCAGTAAATTTACCCTATGCATGCAATACTCAATGTGCCTAGAGGATCAGAAAACAATGCACCCACGTTAGAATGGACAGAAGCAGAGAAATAAATCTTCATCCGCATGCTCTTTCTTCATTCATCATTAAACAAGGTGAACTGAACTCAGGAAGCTTTGATTTGCTACGGAATGGGAACTTAATAAATTTTATTCCAGAAGTATGCTTTTCCTTTCTGACAATAAATAATCCCCTTTACAAATTCAATTATTATGCACATTGATTGTCGGAACAAAATACAATATTTTAACAAATTATAAATTGCAGAAAACCAATTTCTCTTTTACTCTTAAACTTCACTAAATTAAGAAATGCAAACTGAAACATTCCAAATTAAACCATTTTAACAGCAGAAAAAAAAATAAAGAAAAGAAAAGAGGCATCCTTTTGACCATTTTAAGAGAAAACCCATCATCCAAGTAACCCAGATTGATCTCAATACTTTTCATCCGCATGAGGCAACATAAAGAAACATAAGGTAACTTCTCCAGGCCAGTATCATCATTAAACTAATACCCATTAACCCATTTTATCCAAAAGTTGAAAATTCCCAACGAACAAGCCACAAACAGATATTTATTGGCTGTGCATTTACAAGGTATAAAGAACAAGAAAGCGAGAGAGAGAGAGAAAGAGACCTGGAGGTGGGTAATCCTTTGCAGAGCTCAGTGCTGCAAGACAAGGCCCCTTTGTGGAGCCAAGAATAGGTGTCAATAGCTACGCTACAGCCCTCAAGATCCTTGATATGGATTGGTACCATTATTGATTTCAATAGAGGCAAAAGCCCTTGTATTCCCATTCCTACTCTTCTTCTTCTTCTTTATATCTGAATCAGCTTTTGGATTTCAGGGGCTTGAATTTGTAACAAAAGAAAGTAAAGACCAGCACCTTAATCTTGCATCGTTAACATCGTATATGCCGATAAATGAAGAGAAAGATTGGAGATTCCATGGAAACAGAAGAAGCACATAATAATAATAGCCCAAATTTTAGGCGGGAAGAATTGGTGGGATGATTTGATAGGTCCCACTAGCATGGGTCAAACCCAAAGGTAACGTTGCTCATAGCCTCATACAGTCAAAGGTCGGGCTTTTTACCCAAAAACAATGAAAAAAAAAGGTCAGTCATGTTATTATTATCATGGGTTATGATTCCTTTCTTAGTTTCTGAATGATTGCATAAAAAAAAAAAGTTTTGAGGTTTTCGTAACAAGAGGTGGAGAATTCGATGGATTGAGATTGGAATGTCCAGGCAGGGTAACACATTTTAGGCACGTACAAAACATGTGGCTTACACAAATACATAAATAACTACATGTTAGAAAGGTCTCAATCTCACATCAGGATAAGCTAAAGACTAAAGTAACTCCCTCCCACTTGAATCTTTCTGTAATCCTACACCAGGAAACTTGGTTTGATTCTGCACCATATATCTTAACTGACTTTTCTTTATGGACAAACAGACGTTTTTTTCTTTCTTCTTTCAGTTTTTGTGGTTTGATATTCATGAAATCAAGAGTTCTCTATCACTTATTTTGTGAAAAATATCCATGAAAATGGCAATGATGTATCAGAATTCAGAAAGTAAAAATATCTTGGATCAGGCTCAACCATTTAATTTTTTGCCTGTAAAAGTTGGGCCAGGCTGAGCTGTTCTTTAACTGATTGATTGCGACTCTGCGAGTATTGCTATATTCAAGCATGTGATGATTTGTGAACACTGATCAAACACACACAACAATAAAAAGAGCAAAAGTAAAAGTAGCAAGAGAAAATTAATAATTGGACAATGAAAACTAGTGGTTTTAAAATCTATCCAAAGGAAAATAAACAGAAAAATTTTATTCTTTTATTTGGCTTGATCATCTAGCTGGTGTCTTATATATATAACTATTAGCTTTCTCTTGGGAATTGGGATTTATTTGCAAAAGTACAAACGTGAAGGGAGAAGAGAGGAGAGGTACAGGAAAAAAAGAGATATTTTGAGTTTTGCAAATGTCTTCAACAGTGCTATCTTCAGTTTATGTAGTTTGCAGTGATTCCGCTGGGGTTGCAGGTCGCCTGTCTATATTTTTCCTTTTATTTGTCTACCAAGCTTCCTTTTTCACCTCTCATATTATGATTAACATATACTTTTGCTGATATCTGAAATGTCAATAAGCTAGACAACTGTTTAAATTATTTGTTGTATTCCACATGATGGGGTTTTTTGAGTTTGAATTTGGAATCCATGCCAGTTCTTTCTTCTTCTTGCTCCTAGTTCCCTTTCTGTTGGTGACTGGTGTTGGATATTATTGAATATGAACACGGAATAGAAAAATAAGCTGAAATTCGATAGCTTTGAGATAGAATTAATCACCGTTATTCATAAACCTGGAGCAGTTTAGTTGCATATGTTACATGACATGTACTATTTGTCTGCTCAAATGTTTAGACAGAGAACATAGTCTTCTTAAAATGTTGAGAAAACGGGTGAAAAAAAAGGGATAGGAAGTTTACATTTCGTAGTTGAAACATGTCTTATAAGAACAATTGTTTTTCCATATTCAATCTCACATACAACAATCAAAACAACTGAGAATTTCAGGTTAAAGAGTCAAATTTATTTCTATACAGGACGGCTTGAAGAGTATTCTTATTCTAGTCTGTTGATTTCAATTTTTTCAGGTAACATATTTGCTTTTGTGCTGTTCTTGTCACCTATGTAAGTTACTTTAAACCTCTATTAGAATGAAACAAAGATCATGTGCAAAAGCTGAACTAGAAGGCTTATTTACACAAACTTTCCTTCTCTGTCTTCCAGATCAACATTCAGGAGAATAATCAGAAATGAGTCAACAGAACAATTCTCAGGAATGCCCTACATATATACCCTCTTGAACTGCTTGATATGTCTCTGGTATGGCATGCCCCTTGTATCTCCTGGTATTATCCTGGTGGCAACAGTCAATTCCATTGGAGCAGTTTTCCAATTAATTTATATCACCATTTTTATTAGATATGCTGAAAAGCCAGTGAAGGTACTTAAGAATCTAATAATTTGTTATGGCAGGATGATCTAATTATAAATGCCCATTTATATAAGAGTAATTTAACATGATTGTTCTACTGTCCTCTGGATGCTGTGTGCAGTTGAAGATGTTGGGATTCTTGATATCAATTTTTGCAATATTTGCTTTGATAGTTTTTGTGAGCCTGAGATTCTTGGACCCTCCATCACGGCAACTTTTTGTTGGATATTTAAGTGTTGCATCTCTGATTTCCATGTTTGCTTCTCCTCTACTCATAATTGTAAGTTTATCAGAGTTTCAGATACTTCGACCTTTAGATTGCGAAATTCATTCTCACTCAAGTTCTTTTACGTACATTCCCACATCAGAATTTGGTGATCAAAATGAGAAGCGTTGAGTACATGCCATTCTCACTCTCCCTTGCAACATTCTTGATGAGTCTGGCTTTCTTTGTATATGGAATGTTCAAGCATGATGCTTTCATCTATGTAAGTTTTTTCTTTTGCCACTGCTCTATATTTTGTTCCAATGCCAACTGATTGATTCAATCACAATCAGAGTCAGGACCGCCGAAGGTCCCCAATTTTGGTTTCCAGCAGTAAATACGAGAGCATTGTTCTAAAATTTCTTCCCTTGGTACAGGTTCCAAATGGAATTGGAACAGTTCTGGGGACTGTCCAATTGGCCTTGTATGCCTATTTTAATAGTGCTTCTCAAGAGGAGTCGAGGCATCCCCTGATAGATCCTTGAAAGGGAGCTCAGCTAGTGTATAGAATATAGAATGAACACTGTTTGCCACTCAGCTTTTCCAGTTTGATTGGCATAGAATGTTTTTCCTTTCCCCTTGTTCCTGTGAGAAGATCATGCAAATTGATATATATATATAGCTGCAAAATGCAAAAGCAAATTCATGTTGTAATTTATATATTATGTAACTTTATATATGTAATAATACCCATTGATCTCAAAGAATAACAAAAAAAAAAAAAAAGATTTTGGGTTGATAAAGATTCAAGAATAAGATGGGGTAATACACACATTCTCCTGTGGAGTACTTTCGTTTCAATAGAGGGTAACTTCAGACTTCATAAATTAAGAGATCATGCACAAAACAAGAAAAGAAAAGTAAAAAGGATATGAAATACTTCAGAGTTCTGACTTTATGCCCATGTGCACTTATACAAATCTTTTTTTCCCATTAATTATAAAATTAACTATCATGAATCATTTAAAATCTCCATTAATATAAACGTACCCACACATTCATAAATTATAATCAAGATATGAATTCATATATCATTAGATTTTAAGATTATTTTGCTGTTAATTTGCTAAAAGATATCTAATTCTTTCTATATTTTAAATTTTCATTTATTAATAAAAAATAAAAAAATAAAGCTTAATTCAGTTAGTTTATATAATTATTAATGATATTAAGCAAATTTAAAATTTAAAATTCTAATATATATGATCCATTCTTTTATTAATACATTGCAATCATTTTATTGAAAGCAAAATATGAAAAGAAAATTCATAACTTAAATTTTGGTCATGCACAGATGAACAGTATATGACCAAATGACCAAAATTTAAGCAAATGTCAGCCTTTTTATTATTCTTTTGATTGTTTTTTTTTTTCTCCATTTTTTTTGTTAAACTTTTTAATATGTAATAAATAATTTTTTTATAAATTTTATTTTTAAAGTGAGACTCACTTTACGCCCAACTTTATTTTTTATTTTTTTTCATGATTTTAAATTTATTTTTTTATGGGATTCATTTTATATAAAAGATATTTCGGGTGTTTATGTTTTAATTTTTAGTATATTTAATAAATATTTTTAAAATTTTTTATTTTTTATTTCATTGATAAAAAAGTATGTCATATATTAAGTTATTTTATTCCTTTTAATCTATTTTTTTATTTTTTATCATTTTTTATATTTATTTTTTTATTTTTTAATATTTATAGATTTTTATAATATTTTACCCTAGTTTGAAACGGATTAAGTAATTGTTTGGTCATTTTATTTTCAAATAATATACCTTGAGATGATTGAGTTTTTTTTTTTTTTTTTAAATGAGCTAAAGTCAAAAACACATTTAAGATGCTTTGTTTTGAGCTATTTTGAAGTATATATAAAAATTTATATTTTATTGTTTATTTAATTATATATATGTATTTTATTAATAAAGTTATTTTTTACCTCAATTAATAAATTAACATTTCAAGCTTAATATGGAATGTTAATGTGAGACCCTTGTGAGTTTTTTTTTTTTATTTTTAATTTTTTAATTTTTTGGTATTTATTGGATAAAGTTATAAAAAAAGACTAATTATGGAATCTATGTCTCATTTCCTATTTTTATCATTAATTTTAAATTTTTTCTAATTAAATTAATTAAGATGATAAAATAAAAAAGTAACACATGGGTTTTTTTAATAAAATAAAAAATATATAATTTATTAATAATATGAGAATTATAACTATACCAAATAAAAAAAGCTTGGAACATGATAATTAATTAATACTCCATGGTTTACTTTTTAAAATTATTATTTTTCTATATTTGATGTGAAAAAAAACCCAAAGAAAATAACAAAGTTTACTTGATATCATTAGCAAATTTGTTTTCTTTACTAATTTGGGTTTAAAGACGATATCAGATACAATAATTATCATTCTTATAATCTTATAAGTACAAAATCACCCATTGACCCATTATTTATTTATTTCATAGTGTTAAAATTTCCCCTAACCTATAATTTTTTTTGGAAAAATATAGTCTTTTTTTGAAGAAAAATCATTTTGGCAAATGATAGTCTTAAGCATAAAACTACATAGAAAAATCATTGAAGATCTTGACCCAGCCGTTTGTGTTAACTCCCATCATTAATTTTCCAATGTAATTCCAAATTAACCCATGCCAATAACAACAAAAAATATAAAATCAGCATCAAGCCTAGGCCAAATTAGTCATTTAAGCAAAACACCGACTTATTACATTTACCTTTTTTTTATGTGAAATTAGGAAATCGTCGCGATAAAGTAAATTCTAAAAGCAAAGGTGCCCCCCCAAAAAAAAAAAAAATCAGAGAAAGAGAGAGATGATAAAACCCTAGCCTTAGATTTTTACACTTCCTCTAAGCAGTGGAGTAAGAGTAGCAGTGTAGAGGAAAACCCTGAGCTTTACACTTTCTCTCTCTCTCTCTCTCTTCTCTTCTCGATCTGTTCTCTCTTGCTTTTTTCTTTTGTCAAACTCTTTTTTCGATTCTCCAATCGTCTTTACTCCATCGCCGTCTCATCGATCGATCGATCGATTCATTGGCCAAATTTGATTTTTTCTGGAGCTTGTTTGGTTCGGTTTTCGGTATGTTTCACAAATCTCTAACTTGTTTTCATTGTCTCCATGGGTTTGGATCTTCTTCTTTCTTTGATTTGGTGAATTGAGGTTTTAATGAATGATTCGGCCGTAGGGTTTTGTTTATGAATGATCTTCTGATTAGTTCTCTTTTAATTACTATATCACTGTTCTTAGGTTAAAATGATTTCCTTTTCTTTGTAATTTCCTTTTTTTCTGAAGTATTTATGCTAAATTTCGTGTTTAATTTACTGAATTGTCGGTTTAAAGTAGATCTAATTTCCGTTAGGGTTTTGTTAATGCCTGATCCAAATTTGAATTCCTTTCTTTATTTGTATCTTCTAGTTGTGTTTGTTACAAAGTTTTGGTCTTTGTTGTTCAACGTAATACTAAGATTTTCCGGTTTAACGGTAAAAAGAATAAATTAATTGGCTTTGCAGTGTATTTGGGGTTTTCGCAATATCTTTGGTTTTGGGTTTGGGCGATTGATGTCTTCCCAATGCTCTTTCTTCTAAAGGACATGAAGAAACTCCTATTGCACTTGGTTAGCTTTTGCTTCTTTTGAAGGTTCTTAGTTTTAGCTTTAGTATACCTATTAATCCATGCTGGCATGACATGTTGCCAATTAATTGATGAATTTGTAATAACCATTTGTTTGAATGTGTTGCCAATAGAAGTTATGATTTTATGTACTTTTGTTTTAATTGTATAACTTATTTGTAATGTGTAGCTGCTTCAAAAATTTTTATGCTCCTGTTTATTTTTTTCTTATTGTCTGCCAACATGTAAATTTAGAAGGTGTTATATTTGAAGTTTTATAGTTTCACAAGATGATTGCCGCGGAAAATGTCATGCCAAAGCAAAAGTTGAAGATTAAGTTCCCTGCTCATGTACTGCAATCTTATGAGTTTGGGCAGCAACTGAGCAGTTCCTTTGATGGAAAAAAGATGTCATCTGCTGGAAATTTGAAAGAGACTTCAGGTGCTTACAAGCGTGGACCAGAAAGGGTGATGGTGGGTGGTCCACAGGAGAAGAGGCAAAAGATGGACTGCAGCATAACTCAGCAGTGTTCTGCCCTGCTAAAAGCACTGATGAAACATCCAGCTGGGTGGGTTTTCAATCAACCAGTGGATCCTAAAGCATTAAAGATTCCTGATTATTTTTCAATAATAAAAAACCCCATGGATTTGGGTACAATTAAGTCCAAGCTAGCGAAGAATACATATCTTGGCATTGAAGAGTTTGTAGCTGATATTAAGCTGACGTTTTCTAATGCCATGCTGTATAATCCACCATCAAATAATGTTCATAAAATGGCAGAAGAAATGAATGAGTTTTTTGAGGCAAGATGGAAATCTTTGGAGGAAAAGTGGAATCAAGAAAATTTTAAGGTTGGGCATGGGAAAGTTTTGAGTGTGCGACTGAAAGATGTTAATGAATCAAGACAGAGTTGTTATAAAACACAACCATCCCGAAATAGCTCTTTGCCTAAGAAGTCAAAGCCATCTGAGGGGAAGGTTGTGAAGGTGACTTTGAATGCAAGAGCAGCAGAGGTGAGTACTGTCAATGGTATTTGTAAACAAACATGCTTGTGTATTCTGAATTGGTGTAGTTTGATTTATTTATTAAAGTCAAATTTTGGATCTGACAATTGCAAAGCAAGTCAGACTTATAGTCCATGTAGTATTTTGCTGTCAGTTTCTCAGTTCTGGTTTTGAGGTCATGTTTTTGCTCATTTTATGTTGTTATCATAAAAGTTTGAGCTGCTTTTGATGCTGAACTTCTTGGCGTCATAACAGGTTGAGTGGCCTAAACCGGCACTGATCTGTGTGAGCAAGTTGGCGGGGAAAAACTTACAAAAAGGTATGAAGGGGCGGAATAAAGTTTCTGCTTTATGGCTCTTTATAGGATCTAATTTGCAATGTGTCTTATAGGCGCCAGTACCGGTAGTGGTAGTGGTGGGCATGCCTATGGGTCTATCAATGCCAAGCCACCATTGAGCCCAGGTGCTTGCAAATGCAGTTCATGTGGCAGCATTAAGTGTCAATGTAGCCTTGCAAGTGATTCAAACCATGCATCTTCCAGTGGTTAGTTGATAATTTCTTGTGCTACCTTTTTTTGTTATTTTGGGCCATAACTTATTTTTTGATTATCTTAAAAAATTTCTTATTTTTTGTTTGGTGTAGATGTGACTTCGGAAAGATCATTGGGTGGAGATCTTAGAGTGTGTAGTGCTGATGCCTCTAAATTGGTATATGTTAATGCTTTTATAGCATCATGATTATTGTTATGATTAGTGTGTTGGATTTGTTATTAAAATTTTATATTAAAATATAGGATTGCCAGTCAAAAAGCACATTGACATCACAAGTGAGCAAATCTGATCCAGATTCTGATGGTGAGGAAATATCTCATTGTATTCATGATTTTCTACTTGCTTCTTGATCTGAGTATGGGAGTTCTTTTAAAAATTGTAAAGGGGCTGTAAGTGCCTTGGATGATGAGAATCTTTGTCTTAGTTCTCAACTTACAACTCTTTCAACAGATGCTGCTTCTGGTGAAGGTCAGTTTCTCTGCTGATGTTAACCGTTAATGTTTTTTCTTTTTGCCTTCAAAGTGGATGTTTGTTTGTGGTTCTCATTATAATTCCTTTTATGTAAGTTTAATCACTTCATTTGTTTTTCTTTTATTTGTTGTAGGATTGTTAACTCCTATTTTTGATGCACAAATGTCACCGAAGAAGGCTCTTCGTGCTGCAATGCTGAAAAGCCGTTTTGCAGACACCATTTTGAAAGCTCAGCAGAAGACACTACTTGATAACGTAAGTTTTGGAAAGGGTATATTTTGAATGTTGTGCTGGGAATTTTATGTCGCATGGTGTTGAATTGCATGTTGTCTTCATAGCATTTAATAGCAATAATTTATGCTGCCTTGTTATATAGGGTGATAAAACTGATCCAGTGAAGATGCAGCTGGAAAAGGAAAAATTGGAAAGAAGGCAGCGTGAAGGTGATCTATGAAGATTTGCACTTGTTCTAGTTATTGATTTTAGTATTGTTGCATTATTGCTGTTACTGATTATTGATGGTTATTTTTATTGTTTTCTATTTCCTTTTTTTATTTTGGCTGATAAAAAATGAAAAATCTACTAATTCCTCATCTAATTGAGTTAAAAGAGAGTGACAATAAGTGAAACTCTCTGTAGGTGTCTCAGGAGACTTGTTCGGAACTTATATTACTTGTTTTCTTAATTTTTTTTACTTGTTCATGCCATTATATATTTTGAACTGCTTTTATCTATGAACTGTTAAATGGCACAGCTTATTTATTTATTTTTGCTTCTGTCCACTGAATAATCTTATCAGGATGACTTAATATGTGCTTCCTATACAATAATTAATTTGATACCATATTCTATAATTTCGCTTCCTCTCTCTCTCTCTCTCTCTCTCTTTTGTGTTTGATCTGCTAATGTGTTTATTTCTGAAGCTTTTCATTAAATAAGAGATATGAAATGATTTGTAGGTTTGGCTTGATTTATATACTTGTATATGGGTATCTAATGTTATGGTAATAGACCTATGAATGCATCATCTTGTGAGTGATTAGGAATACTAGTCTTTTTGGTTTGTACTTTTTTGAAGGCTGGATAAAGGGACCAGTTCCTGTTAGTAGTAGTTCTAAGGCTGCGTTTGGTAACTGGAAATCAAGTTCTAGAAAATAAAATATTTTCTTTGAATATGTTTTCCGGAAAAGACATAATTTTCAGGTGGTAGGATCACTTGGAGAAAAATATTTTCTGATGTTGGTTTCAACCTAAAATACAAAAATTTTCTTCACTATTCATTTTCTCTTTCCTCTTTTAAATTCATAAAAACCTCATAAAAATAAGCACAAAAAAATAACAATATTTTAGAAAAAGATGGGAATTTTTTGGGTTCTTGTCTAGATTAGCTTGAGATTATAACCCATAAAAACCCATAAAGCTTGATAAGGGAGATCAAGGAGGAGCTTTCTTGTTGGCTGCAAATTTGCAAGTCTGCAAAGCTTTCTAGGTGGTTGCTGATGTTGGTCACCGGAGTTGTTAGTTTGCTTGGTTTGTGAAGGTTGTTGGCTATATTGTTGGAGATGAGACCGTGAGAGAGAAAGAGAAGAGTTGCTGCCTTGCTGACTAGAGAAGTGGAAGACAATTTCCATAAAATGGGCACTATTATGCTTTGACCAGAAAACCATTTCTTGTTGATTCTATATTATTTAACTTGCCAAACACTAGAAAATGCGGAAAACAATTTCCGGAAGTAATTTTCCATTGAAACAAATGGACCCTAAGTTTGATAACTAATTCTGTTAAGTCCATAGTGTGTCTAGAGGTCTTATAGATTATTCTTGTATTTGAACAGAAAAGGCAAAGATTGAAGCTCAAATCAGAGCTGCTGAAGCTGCAGCAAGAATGAAGGCAGAGGTTGAGTCGAAAAAGCAACGGGAAAGAGAAAGAGAAGCTGCTCGAATTGCATTGCAAAAGGTTCACCTTTTTTTTTTTTTGTGTTTTCTTTTTTGATTATACTTCTAGCAGTGAGTTTAGAGGTAAGACCATTGTGACTGTATTGAAAATTTGAATCGGAGCATCATCTAATGCAATTTTTTTAATTGCCTGGATGTTCAGATGGAAAAAACAGCTGAGATCGAACAGAATCTGGAGATTCTAAAGGAATTCGAGATGCTTAGTGGATGCTCTCTTTCTATTAATCAATTGCATGGTCGTAAAAATGGATATGAAAAGGTGAGTGGAGCATATGGAGGAACTCGTGTGAATCCACAGCTGATGCAGCAGCTGGGTTTGTTCATCAAAGACGAGTATTTGGCAGACGATGACGATGAGGCAATTCTGAATGAAGATGGTGAAGAGGGAGAAATACTGTCTTAAACATAGTAATATTGTAGTCCTCTTTGTTCCAGCGCTTGTTAATAATTTCTTATTGGGAGAAAAAAAAAGGAAAAAAAAAAGGAAAAAAAAAGGATGGTCAAAGTGGAATTGTTTGTAAATGAAGTATTTTTGTAGGAAATTGGATATTTTTAACAAAACACGTATATATTTATATAGAAAAGCTAAAAGTATAGTTTCCATCAAATTCATGTTATAAGTATATTCTTGGATTTTCAGTGCAATTGTTAATTTGTAAATTTGGGGAAAAATTTGTGTGAATTAATCATGAGAAATAATATTTTCGATCGAACTTTTTGTCGAATTTGTACGTTCGAAATAATTTTTTATTTTTAATTAAATTTAATTCATTCATATGATAACATTTAATAAGTTTAAATTTTAAATTTTAATAATTTATAATTTTTTCATTTTTAGGTTAAAATTTTAATAAAAAAATATTTTTTTTTCTTTTTTTAACTGGTAATTACATAAGGAATTGCAAGTAATAAGTAAAGGAATATGGTATTATTTCATAAAAAGAAAAGTACTTTGTATTGAGTGTGAAAAATGAAAATAAAGTCTGTTTAATACTGACATTTAACGCAAAAAAAAAAAAAAAAAAGAAATTGTAGTAAAAGTAAAGTGGGTGCGTTTATGTGATGTCGTTTATTGGCTGGGGCAATCATAAAATCAAGAAAGAAAGCCTGCCTCTATTTTGTGAAAAAAGGGGAACCCAAATCGAAGAGGAAGTGAAAGAAAGAGAGAGAGAAAAAAAAGAATGGGCGTAGAGGAAAATCTCAAATCATTGAGCATCAATGAAGAAGAGAACAAGAACCCTAACCCTAACCCTAACGTGAAAGAGGAGGAATATGAAGAGCTGGAGGACGGGGAGATCGTAGTGGAGGAAGGGGAGATCGTAGTGGAAGAAGATGATGCGACATCGTCTTCGTCAAAGAAAGGTATAATTGAGCAGCCCCACCCTCTGGAGCACTCCTGGACCTTCTGGTTTGATAACACATCTGCCAAATCCAAGCAAGCCACTTGGGGTAGCTCTATGCGCCCTATTTACACTTTCGCCACCGTCGAACAATTCTGGGGGTTATTATCTCTTCTTTTTCTTTTCCTTTTTTTTTTTTTTATTTTCGTTTTGAAGGTTGAGTTGCTAAGATAATCATATTTATTATTCATTGCGACTTTGTTTAATTCTTCATTGCCTTCTTTTTCTTTATCAGTTTTTCGATTTTGATGATACCAATTCGTTAGATTTCAGCTTAGACTTCAAAAAAAATATTTTTTCTTTTCTTTTCTTTTTTGTCTCTAATTACGGTACTGTTTGGGGAGGGGGTTTGGTTGGAGATGCTTGAGTTTCTTGAAATCTGAAAAATTAACCTTTTTTTATTGTCATTTGTTCTATTTTATTTCTGCAATTGATCATTCGTGATGTATATGTTTTTTGTATAATTCCGTTAGTAGGAAGCTAGAACACAAGCAGGCTTTCGTGAGTTTGTAGTGTCAAAACAATGAATTATCCAACTTTTTTTCTGTTTGATTCTCATTTTATTCCTCGTTACAGTGGAATCAAGTTTTGCGTTTTATAATGTTGTGATCTGATATATGTATGATGGATTTCAGTACAAGTGAGATTGTTTTCAATATTATCATTGAAGGATGTTTTCTGTAAGGATCTTGGAGCTGCCTGCTACAGAGTCCTGGTTCATAGTCCTCTGTTTCATTTTAATTTGATGTTGTTAAAAGTGGTCTGTTATTTTAATTGTTTTATAATCAACTTTCTTAAGCACTTTTGTCGGACATAAGGAACTTAATCTTCGCTTATAATTTTGGATTGTTGCTTGGTGCCTTCAGGTGAATAAGTTATGTGATTATCAAAAAACTGCTACACAAACTGCGTCTACATGGCTGGCAATGATTACTGATTCCATGTGTCACTTTTTTGTCAGTTTCTGTTTGTTTCTTGTGTGAATGTCACTTATAGATTTACCTTCCAAAACTCTTCTGATTACAGTCTTTACAATAACATAAATCACCCAAGCAAGTTGGCTGTTGGAGCAGACTTTCATTGTTTCAAATATAAAATTGAGCCAAAGTGGGAAGACCCTGTCTGTGCTAATGGAGGCAAGTGGACTGTAACTTTCCAAAGGGGGAAGTCAGATACATGTTGGCTGTACACGGTATTGTTTCAGATAATGTAATGCATACTAGTGTATGAAAATTTTGATGCTTAATCGAAAATGTGGCTTGATCTCTTATATGTCTGCTGTACTAGTTGCTGGCTTTGATTGGGGAACAGTTCGAGTATGGTGATGAGATCTGTGGAGCAGTTGTCAATGTGAGAGGCAGGCAGGAAAAAATAGCATTGTGGACGAAGAATGCTGCCAATGAAACTGCTCAGGTGACTAGAGTTGCTTTGTTACAAAAAATGTCTTGTGCAAGTCCAAAACCATTTTCATGGGTTTTTGGTTTTAGTGGCTTGTGATGCTAAAACCATTTTTGACTGGTTTTTGTTTTTGAACGCAGATAAGTATTGGGAAACAGTGGAAAGAGTTACTTGATTACAACGAAACTATAGGCTTCATATTTCATGTAATGGCTTCCTTTAACTTGTACAGATCTTTCATGTTAATGCTGTTTTTGCAAATTGTAGTTTCAGTTTATGTCCCAATTTGTGGGCTATAAACAAACACTTATATTTTCTCTTTCAGGAGGATGCAAAGAAGCTTGACAGAGGTGCCAAGAATCGGTACACTGTATGACTTGTAGTCCTGCTCTACTAGATGCTGGGCGCGTGGCAAGATTGCTTTTCAGGATTCTGGAAGCACCTTTAGCTTCTCCTTTTTTGCCTCCTTACAAAATATTCTGATTTGTTTCTCCTATGGCTGTCCCTACAAGAATTTTAGCTAGATAAACATATGTTATACTGCCTTAAATTTCAGTTTGACCATTTATATCAGTTATGACTCCGTTTTGTTCTATGGTTTTGAAAACAATTCTTTCAGATATTTATAGCTCTTATGTTGTTTAAAGAGGTTACCTTTTAAAGTTAACCTGAAACCATGTCAATCTGGATTGATCTGGTTAATTTGTTTCAATTTGAATGCCTAAACTTTTCTGTTTGGTTTTGATTTGATAACTTATTGGTCCAAATAACCCAGCAACTTTCGGATAGTCCTTTTGGAAGAGTACTTAAAGGACATTTTTGCTCGGAAAATAAATGCAAAGCGTTACCGTGATTTCATGAGAACAAAACACGAGGAAAATGGGCATTGAAAACTGGTACAATTAGCTAATAATAAGCAGAAAAGCACTCTATTCTTTGAAAGTGGATTGAAACAACTATATTTATTTGTAAGAGAGAATTTGCATTTTATTCTGTTTAAAGTAAAAAAGAAGGTGCGGGAAGAGAGAAGGTAGGCTGAAAATGTAGGGGTAAAATCTTCGCTTCATCCGTGACCAGGGTGGTTGGCGACACACCATCCACCATCCACCTTCAACCATTTTGTTTCTTCTTTTCCATTCTTCCCATGCAACTATCTTTGTTGAAAGAAAGAAGAAAGTAATTGTCTACTGGCAAATGGCAATGGTCTCTCCTGTCTTGCAAAGGAGACGAATCCGCTAAACAAATAAATAACTCAATTCACGTGCGTAAGCACATATTCAACATTCCTTTACCAAATTCTGACGCATTCTTTTCCTTCTATTGACATTCCTTCTTTTTTCGGGACCAAGCAAAGTTGATCCTCTAAAAGGACTTGGCCCAGATATTACAATTAGTCAGTGAACAACTAAAAATGATCAGAATTGCACTCCATCTAACTCAATTCTAATAAAGAACTAGTCTATCCAGATAAATTAATACTGAGATCATCTCATATTTTTATTAAGGGTGTGATAAGATCAGTGTGGTTTACGATAGAAGCCTCATCTTTCTAATCCCCAAAACCTTGCAGCAGAAAACATTGCCAATTCTTTTGTTCTATCACTGGCATGAACTGATAATTGCCAATTCTTTTGCTTATTGCTTAATCCAACCACCATTTGTAATCAATGCTACAATATGCTCATTTAGAAGTAATCTTCAATATGGGGTGGTAATACATAGACAGGCACATTTGCATGTATTCTGATTTGGTGAAATACAAGAAGAAGCCTTAATTAAAGGCTGGCCCCTAGCTTATCCATAATCAGCCCAATGTGTTATCAAAGTTATAGGCATAAAGTTCTCTAATAATGGAACCCCATGTACTCAGCTTTCAAACAACGTTATTTAGCTAGAGCTTTGCCATTTCCAGCTATATTCGCACTGTAGTTGGTTTCTGGTCACGCATCCTATACACCAGGATATCTAATTATTCAACTTTAATTTATGTTCTAAACTTCTAATTAATTTCTTGATTATTCTTGGCCACTCTTTCCATTACCTTTATAAAGGAGTAAAGAACTCTCAACAAATTCACCCATTTATCAAATTAGTCCCCTCTCTCTCTCTAGATGGCAACTTTTTCTTTCTCTTGTTGTTAGTTCTTTTGTAGCTCCATCAGCTGGTGATTTCTACCAAGACTTTGATCTGAAATGGGGTGACAAGCGTGCTGAGATACTGAATGGAGGAAAACTTCTTACACTTACTCTTGACAAGACCTCTGGCTCAGGTTTCAGGTCTAAGAGAGAGTATCTATTTGGAAGAATAGACATGCAAATCAAGCTTGTCTCTGGCAACTCTGCCGGTACTGTTACTGCTTTCTATGTATATTTGTTCTGTCTCAGTTTTGCATTGAACTTGTTTCCCCTGTTGACAATTTAGGCATAATATCTACAACCCATTTTTTCTGTTTTTAGTCCAAAAGTTGCGTAGTACTAATGTCTAATTTTTGATTGCAGCTATCTTCTGAAGGGCCAAACCACGATGAGATAGACTTTGAATTCTTAGGTAACTTAAGTAGAGACCCTTACATTGTGCAGACAAATGTCTACTGCCAAGGTAAAGGGGACAGAGAACAACAATTCTACCTATGGTTCGATCCAACAAAGAATTTTCACACATATTCTATTTTTTGGAATCTACAGCGCATTATGTAAGATAAATGTCACTTTTAAGTCTTAAATCTTCATAATAACTATGAAAATTGAAGATGGTCTAACTCCTTTCAACTTATCAGTTTCATGGTAGATAACATTCCAATCAGAGTATTCAACAATGAAGAATCCATTGGAGTTCCCTTCCCCAACAACCAGCCCATGAGGCTTTATTCGAGCCTGTGGAATGCAGATCAATGGGCAACGAGAGGTGGGTTAGTGAAAACAGATTGGTCCAAGGCTCCTTTCCAGGCATACTACAGGAATTTCAATGCAAATGCATGTACAGGGTCGAATGGTGATTCTGATTGTGCTTCACAGACATCTAACTCTGTTAGAAACAATGTTTGGCAAACTCAAGCACTGGATGCAAGTGGCAGAAGAAGACTTCGATGGGTGCAAAAGTAGTTCATGGTGTACAATTATTGTACAGATTTGAAGCGATTTCCTCAGGGTCGTCCCCGGGACTGTAGGGATTCTAGGTTCCGCTGGGCAGTAAATATTGCTTGAATACTATTATTCAAGACTTTGGAAACTTGTAATTAAAAATTTACTTTAATGTCTCAAGAAATAGGATTTCTCACTCAAAGAGAAATTATCAATCTGAGGTCATAACTTAGAAATTCCCTAGGGATATACATTCTTCCAAAATTTCCTTTTATGCGTGGAGGCATGGGTCTAAAATCTTGCAATAGAGAAATATGACATTGTTCAATACAGCTATAAACCAACAAATTTTGCACCAAAATAAATAAACCCACAATTTTATTTCATGTGGAAAATTTTTCATCGAAATTTATTTGGACTATGTAAATGAGCTTAGCATTGAAATATCACAAACGTTTTATAGGCCTGAGTTTCAGGTTACTGAAATTTTCTCATATATGAACAAGTTTTATTGTAAAAACTTCTAATTTTGTTGTTGAGCTCCATGATCAATCTCTGTAAGGATTTAAGCATACAAGTTCGAGTCTGGCCCCCAAAAAATAAGTTGAAGTACACTTTAGAATAGCTAAATTACGGCTTCCACAAAGCTTAAAGGTCCTGCCGGCCATCTCTAGGCGTTAAATTTAATTCATTGCCTAGTTTTGGTTCAAATGGGTAGTAATAGGGATTCATGTTTGTCAATTGTCATATATCCAACAACCTGTGATGGGGCCATTGCCTATATATATAGGTGTTTTTCCCTATGGTTCAACTACAAACATTAACTCTTCTTCTTTCAAGATGGGAAACTTGAGAGTTACATCAATGTTTCTGCTTTCACATATGGTATTGGTAGGTTCTATCATTGCTGCATTTGCCAATAATTTCCATAAAGATGTGGAGATAACATGGGGTGGCCACCATGCTCAAATACTCGGTCGAGGGGATCTTCTGACGCTTACTATGGACAAGACCTCTGGAGGAGCTGGCTTCAAGTCCAACAAAGACTATCTCTTCGGAAGGTTCAACATGCAAATGAAGCTCATTGCTGGTAACTCTGCTGGCACTGTTACCGCCTTCTACGTACGTCTCTCAATCTTGCAAATTTAGTCCCAAAGTCCTTATAGTTTCATAAAAATGCTACCGATTTGCTGTACTTTTAATCTTGCAGTTATCTTCTGAAGGCCCAACTCATGACGAAATCGATCTTGAGTTCTTAGGTAACAAAAGTGGCTCTCCCTACACTCTTCATACTAATATTTTCAGCCATGGACAAGGCGGTAGAGAGGAAGAATTCCACCTCTGGTTCGACCCAACAAAACATTTTCACTCATATTCCATTGTATGGAACCCCCAAAACATCATGTAAGAATTAACATGCTCGTCTAATTAATTCTTTTCGAAAATTTTAAATCAAGGTTTTATATATAAGATGCAACTTTTCATTTGGTTTGATTGTTCAGACTCCTGGTAGATAACATTCCGATAAGAGTATTTAGCAATCAAGAGTCAATTGGAGTTCCTTACCCCAATAACCAGCGGATGAGGGTCTACGCGAGCCTGTGGGATGCAGATGATTGGGCGACGAGAGGTGGGAGAGTAAAAACCGATTGGTCCAAGGCTCCTTTCACTGCTTACTACAGAAATTTCGTAGCTAACAATGCTTGGGAAATGCAAGGGCTTAATGGTCGTGGCAAAAAGCTACTGACTTGCGTAAAAAAACGTTACAGAATCTACTACTATTGCAATGATCTGAAACGAAACCAGCATCATGGACATGGCCGTCGCCCACCAGAGTGTAGGCGTCCACCCGTGCAGCACGAGAGGAGAGTATTTAATGTTTGAAAGCTATTTAAGTCTGTATCTACGGCAGCTTTGAGTGATATATTTTTATCAACCTGTATTTGCAGTTGGCTTTAGTGACTACTAGTCTTTATCATTGTTGCATCTTCATGTCAATCCTGTGAGCCTCTTTGGGTGGAAAAAAAAAAGTAATAAAGAAAAAAAAGTGATAATTCCTGGCTTTGTTATTCCCTCTTATATATACATTCATGTATTACACTGATTATTGTTAAGCTGTTAAAATTTCTCCTTTTAAAAGGAGGCAAATTGCATCTTAACTTACCTAATCCTTGCCGCAAAAGCCAAGTCCTAAATATGCTAATGTTGCCATAGTAGAAGAAAGATCTAGTTTTATATGTGGAAACTATAATAACTTACAATTTTGGTAATGTACGGTATACATTTTCCATTTTTTTAAGCCATCACGTGTGGCATTTTGGTCTTTTGTTTTTTTTTTTTTAAGATTACAAAAAATATATTTTTATGTGTGAGACCTATTTATATCAGTTTTTTCCTTTTTAAATAAAAATTTAATTAAGATTTATTTTTTTTTAGAATTCACTTGAATGTGTATGGTTAACAATTTTATTTCTCTTGGCTATCGTGTGTTATTTTTAAGTTTTTTTTTTTTCTTTTTAAAAATTATTTAATAAATATGAAAATATTTTTTATATTTGGGACTCACTTTTATTAAACTTTTTTTATTAATTTTTTTATTTTGAAATTAAAAAATACTTAATAAAGAGTTTTTACATTTTATTTTTTTAATAAGACTCACTTGATACCAATGGTATGTCATATGTTTATTTTCTTACTTGTTCTTTCCTTATTTTTTATATTTTCTAAAATTATAAATATATATTTTAAAAGATTATATTTTTTATGTGTGGATTCACTTATAACAAATTTTCTTTTTTTTACCATTTTAAACTTTTTCTTTTTTAAAAAATATTTAATAAATATTTTTGAGAGATTTTTTTATATCCGACTTGAGTAATGTACAGTTAACAATACTGTTCCCTTCATTGTCGCGTGTTATTTTTAGGTTTTTTTCTCTTTTTTTTAATTTTCTTTTTTTTTTTTCTATTTTTGGGTTTTAAAAGTTTTCCTTTTAATTTATTTAACAAATATTTTTAAAATTATAAAATATATTTTTAAAAAATTTTAATTTTTATGTTTGAAACCCACTTATATCAAACTTCCTTTTTTGCTTTTTCTTTTTTTATCCTTTTTTACTTTTTGCTTTTTTAAATTAAAAAAATTAATAAAGTTTTTTAAAGATCTTATTTAATTTTTTGTTGGATTTAGTTGATGCTAATAGTATGCCACGTGCTTTTTCTTTAAATTTTTTTAAAATTTTCATTTTTTTCTTTTATATTTAATAAATTATTTTTATATTTTTTAAAGATCCATTTGATATCAATAGTATATCGGTATGCCACATGTTAATTAATTTACTTTTTTTTTGTTATTTACCTTTTTATTTTTTTAAAAATATATATTTAAAGTTTTCTTTAATTAATATGCGATCACTTGATATGATTATTTAAAATATATATTTTCCTTTTCTTTGTTTTTCTTTTTTTAATTTGATGGTTTTTAAAGAAAAATATTAACGGATATATTAATGTCATACTTGTATTTGATTTTATTTTCCTTTTTTGATCTTTTTTTTAATTTTTAATTAGATTAATTTTATAATAAAATAAGTCGATTGATAGGAATGACAAAATAATCGGAATAAATAAGTTTTTATTCATCTCGATTCGATAAAGATATTTTGTAAAAAATTGGCATAAAATCAATCCAAAATAAGAGGCCAATTTAAACATCTACATGCCACCCTCACTTGATTTTTTTTTCTTTTACCTTTTTTTTAAAAGATTAAATAAAATTTTCAACAATAAGACTGATAAATATAGATGGTAAAACAAAAAAAAAAAATTCACTTATAACAACACACTGTTACTCACCTAATATTAAAAAAATTTGGTAAAAAATATATTAAGACCAAAAGTAAGAGATTTAATAGAGATAAATTTGGCGCGTTCAGTACGGTAACTTGGCATGACTACCAAACCAACATCAAGAGAAAGTAGTCCTTTAGGGAGTGTTAAAACGTCAACGACCACTTGCCCTCTCTTCTTAAGATAAAAATTTTTTATTTGTATTTCAATTTTCATCTAGATTTTGCTTTATATATGGTTTAGATTGATTTTTTTTAAGTGTATTTTGATATTCGTAGCCGACTTTTTAAAATTCTCAAAGTATGGTCTAGATTGATTTTTTTAAGTAGATTTTGATATTTGTAACCGATTCTCAAAAATTCTCTAAGTCAATTTTTTTTTTTTTTTTACATTGAAAGTCATAGTTTGAAAATGAAAGAAGAGATTGTAAATGTTGAGATTTGTATTTTAAATTTACTGAATATTACTACTAAAAATGATAAATGCATAAATTAATTGAGCTAAATTTCGGATTTTTTTAAAGTCAAAGTTGTAACCAACATAAATCCCTACATAAATGGTGTTGTTTTGAGCATAATGGTGCGAAGTGTAGTGTGCTGTGGTGTGGAACCGAGATGGAGTAAAGTAAAAGAGTGGGTGTGGGTGACTAAGTGAGAAGTGATATAGAAAAGTGATATAGAGAAAATAGTGTGGGAGTGCATAATTATTTAAAGAAATTATTGTATTAGAGTGTGCCCATATATAATAAGTATATAATAAGTATTTGCTCTTACCAATTATATTTGTTCTTTCTTCGTGTTAATTAACACATACTTAGCATTAAGAACCCAAAATTAGCTACGAATGCCAAAATTACAAGGAATAAAAAAATTATTTTCATCTATTGTTTACTAAATACTATGTAGTAAGAGTTCTTAATAGGTATAACAAGGAAAAAAAAATAGATCATAGCAAATGAAGAAAAAAATTACAAATACTTGAAGAGAAAAAAAAAACTAATAAAATACTTTCTTCTCACAACCACCCGAGTTTCACTCCATTGCTCTTTGTCTCCTTTTTTTTTTCTTTCAAATTCTAATTTTCCTTGTTTCTCTTTCCTTTGCACTTTTTTTTTTGTTTCACCGAATCTTTGGGTTTTTCTCTAATAAACCTATCGAAAAAAAAGTGAGACGACCAGCTTTTGTTGTTGGACAATCTTGCCATTCTAATATTTGGGTTTAACTCTCTTTCAAGCATTTTCTTTTATGGGTTTATGGGTTTTCAATTTTTTTTTTTTTTGGTGTGTTTCTCATTGAATGCAAAATTAAGATTTTTGATAGTTTTATAAAAAAAAAAAAAAAGATTTCTGTTATTCTTTGTTTATATTTTAAAGGGCATGTGCCCTTCCCCCATTTGCTTCTTTTACTTTCTTTCTATCTTATCTCCCCTGTGATGTGAGTTTTAATCCTTTGATTTTGAATACAAGTTTTGATTGTTTGTTTGTCATGAATTTATAGATTAACAGCTTTATTTTTAGTTTTTAGTCAAAATTTCCAAGAACTACAACCAAGAACTCCCCCACTTCTCATTCTCCTCACTTGCAACCCATTCCTTCCCTCACAAATTCCTCAACCCCAAACCCCCATTTTTTCCGTTTTCCATAGCTGGGTAGCTTTATCAATAAAAAACTCTCTTTCTTCATTTCGCTAAAATACCAGTTTGCCATTACCACATATATGTTTTTTTTTTTTTTTTAGTTTAATGGTTCAGCTGGTGAGGAAACAGAGGGAATCAATGAATCTTTCTTCAATGATTTAGTGGAGAAAGAGGAGGGCAACAAAATGACAAAAAAGAAAGCAACATTGATTTGTTGATGAGGTTCTTGCAAAGCATGTTCAGGAAGGTCTCGAAGCATGCCAAAAAGGCCTCATGCTTTGTCTTACCTACTGTAATATCGCCTCGGTGAAATACTGAAATCCCTCTGCTTTTTGTTAAAAATGTCATTAAAGAATTTGAGATATTCTTTGAGTTTTTTAAATTATTTTCAAATAGAATTTATCTAATTATTATTTTTTATTTTTTGTTTTAGTGACAGGAATAGGCATTACCGGTGATTGTTCAAGGTAATTTTAAAGATTATGTGATTTTTTTTTACTTATTTTTTAATTTTGTTTGGTTCTTAATAGTTATTTATTCTAATGTTTTACTGTTATTATTTTAGAAATATTATTATTGGTTAGATGTGAATGCTAATGAGGTTTATACCGTCTCTTAGCTTTCAAATGAACTAAAAAAAATGGACCAATGGAATTTGCAAAATTGAAAAAGAAAAAATTGGTGCTTCGTTTTGTAATTAACTTGTGGGGAAGCATATAGAACTTAATAAGTTTGAATCTTACAATGTGTTTGGATTGAAAAGAGAGGAAAGAAAAGGAAAATAAAATAAAAATAAGTAAAGGAAACAAAACTCCTTTTCCCTTGTTTGGATATATATTCAATTTAAAGAAAGGAAAGAGGTGGAAATCAAATAACCTTGAGTTTTCCTTGTAAATCTAATTTTTTTAATACCCTAATTTGGAGGAAAAGCTAGGGAAAGAAAGGTTGAATTTTTTATTTTATTAAAAGATTATTATGTCCATCTTTTTATTAATATTAAAAACTTAATAAAAAAAAATCTAAGCAGATCACAATCATCCTGTAATTTTTTTAAAGTCATATCTTTTTTCAAGTAAGTTTCATATATATATTTCAATATAAATTTTTTTTTAAAATTTTTTGGTGATTTGATGAATGGTAGAATATACATAGATATATTTTTTAGGTTTATGAGATATCATACTAGTTCAAAATTTATCAATGCATATTTGTAAAACATCTTCCTGTTTCACTTGATTAAAAATCTTTGATATAACAATAATTGTGAAGCTAGACAAGATAGCAAATATATCATGATCCATGAGTACTTTAAAATCACAAGTAATAAAAGGTTATAATTGAAAAGAATTAATGAATCATTTCTTTTCTTTTTCACTTTCTATCCAACCAATGGTTGTTAGAATTCATTTCCTTTATTAATTTTAATTATCCAAACAAGGGTTGTATATATCCTTTCTTTTTCTTTAAAAACCTTTCTTTTCCTTTCCTTTATTAATATTTATCTAAACATAACGTTAGTTCTATAGCAACTATACTGTAAAGGTTGAAAGCACTACTGAGTTTTTATATATTAATTTTCTTTATTTTCCTTTGTGTGTTTGGATTGAGGGGAATGGAAGGAAAGGCAAGTAAAGTAAAGGAAACAAAACCCCATTTCCCTTATTTAGATAAATTTTTAATTAAAGAAAAGGAAAGAGGTGGAAACCAAATAACCTTTGGTTTTATTTGTAAACTCAAATTTTTTAATACCTCAATTTGGAGGAAAAGCTAGGACAATGAAGGTTGAAAAATATTTTTTATATAAAAAACTATTATATCCATCTTTTTATTAATACTAAAAACCTAATAAAAAAACCTAAATATATCACAATCATCATGTAATTTTTTCAAAATCATCTCTTTTTTCAAGTAAATTTTACGTATCTCTTCCAATATAAAATTTTTTTATAATTTTTTAATGATTTGATTTTGATGAATGATTGAATATGAATAGATATATGTTTTGGATTTATGAGATGACAGACTAACTCAAAATCCATCAATGCATATTTGTAAAATATTTTCTTATTTCACTTGATTAAAAATCATTAATATAGCAGCAATTGTGAATCCAAACAAGATAACAAACATATCATGGTCCATGGTGCTCTAAAATTATAAGCAATGAAATGTTATAATTGAAAAAAATTATTATAATGAATCATTTCCTTTTTTTTTTTTCACTTTTTATCCAAACAATGGTTGTTAGAATTTATTTCCTTTCATTTCATTTATTAATTTTAATTATCCAAATAAAGGTTACATGTATCATTTCCTTTCCTTTAAAAAACTTTTTTTCCATTCTTTTCTTTTCTTTTCCTTTCCTTTATTAATATTATCCAAAAATTAATATTTCAAGGTTTGTGGTTTCTTCCTTTAAAACTTCATTTGAAACCCATATGCGATGAAACTTCCTTCAAGCTCAAGATAAAGGGAAAAAATGTATAGAAGTACAAACCTTTCCTCCTGTTTCTAATTTCACTATGAGATTTTTTTGAGTTTTTAACTTATTTTTAAATTAAACTTATCTAATTAATATTTTTAATTTTTTTTAGTGATAGGACTAGTCGTTAACAATGATTATTCAAGGTAATTGGTCAGTTAGATATGAAGTAATTTTGAAGATTATGTATTTTACTTTTGCTTATTACTGTATTTGCTTTGGTTCTTAATAGTTATTTATTCTCATATTTTTCTATTATTATTTTATAAATATTATTGTTGGTTTTGATTAAACAAAAGCAATAGTTGTTTGATTATTCTAGGTTATAAATGGTTTTGATGTTTATAATTTTTTTTTTAATTTATGCTTTCTATCCTTTCTTGCTATTAATTATACCTGTATTTGTATATTATTGTATTTTACATGTGTTAGTCTACTATTAGTCATTCATAATTACTTTGAATTATAGATTTATCCATATTACTTCAAAGGATATTTTATTTTCAATACTTTATCTTCTTCCATCCATCATGCAAGTTTTGTCATTATAGAAAAACATATATGTTTTAAAAGTTATTGAAATAAAAAGAAATTAATACATAGGATTGATTTATGGTCTACTAAAGGGCTAACAAATGCAAAATTTGAAATGATTGATTGACATGCACTTTGTCTGATATTTATGGTTGTGTTTTCCTTTGCTCTTAGATTAGGTTTCCCTATAGTTCTTTTTGAAATATTTGAAGGAGATGAGAGATGAAAGAGAGTGACGGAGAGAAGAAACAGAAAGGTTAAAGGTGTGTGAGGAGATAGGAAAGAAGGCAAGATTTTGAATTGGTCATTACATTAGCTTTTCTTTTCTTTTCTTTTTTTTGGTTAAAAAAAAGTCAAATTCATGGTTTGCATAAGTGATAACATAATTTTCTATTTAATAAGCTTTGTCAGTCTTGAACAAGTATTTTACATGTATTCAATTTATTGAGGAATTCTTATATGCTCTTTTTGATACTCTTAGTACTTAATTTTGTCATTATATTATTAGGTTAACTAATGTTATTGTCGACCACATATTTAAGATATTACGAAAATGATGTAGGCATGTTGTTTTATATACTGTTAAGGTTTTTAGGTATTTGTTGGGGTATTATGTAGTATTTAGGTTAATATTATTGTCAATAATAAGCTTGCAATGATCACTTCAACTCAAATATTTAATTTATTAATACCGACTACCTTGATAATGAGATTCAAGTTGTGAAGGAATCAAGTATATTCACTTAGTTGTCGAGCATATTCCGCGTAATTGGAGAGAAGAAATAGAAAAATCTTGGCTTTCACGTGAGTCCTTTATTTTAAAATTATTATATAATTGAAATTTATTTATTTTTTTTAAATTTATTTGATTTGCTTTGAGGTCTTAGGGCATATGAGCTATAGAATGTTGTTGAAATTTGAAACATATGAAGTGAAAAAGCTAAATATTTTTTGCATTTAGTTTAAATTTTTTTTTCCCACATGATATGCATTTGTTTGTTATTGTTTTTACCTTTGACCTTTATGTATTTAGTTTTATATTATTAAGCATATATATTCTTGCTTTGAATAGAATTAAAGCTTCATTGTTTAAATTCTTTGCTAGATTACAGTTAATGATTCGAGACAATTTATTAGTGAATTCTAATTTAGTGCTTAGTACTATTCTCATAAAATATTTAATGCGTTCCAATTTAAACACATTCTAATTTGAAAACTTTCTCAATTTATTTATAAATTTATTATCATAAAATATTTTCCACAGCAAAGTGAAGAACAATGAACTTGTTGTATATCATTATAGTAGGTAGAGGATAAAAACTTCATTGTCTTAATTTTGATTGTTTTCTCAGAACTGCGACTTTATTTCCCTTATATGGCAAGATTTCTTGCATGTTAGAAAAAAAAAAAAAAACAAAGTAAAAACAAACAAAATTAAGATCTTAAGAAAAGTAATAAAGATTGAAGATTCGCATGAGCTAATACGCCAAGTGATGAAAGAGATAGGTTGAAATTAACCTGGGAGGTTTATTTCAAGGTGTTGGAAGTTTGTGCAATAAATAAAAATTAAAATGTCGATTTGTCAAAGAATTCATAAAAAAACAAATTACTTACTTTAAATTCTTAATCAATATTACCAAAGTGAGAGGGACAGAAAATGAAGTTTGAACAAATGCAGATTTTCCAATATTTGCCTACATACAGTAAATGTCAATTACTAGCTACTAATAATACACTATAATTAATTCGATCCTGGCTTAATTTCTTCTAAGCAAGAACATTGAATTAAAATTTTTTTTCCCAATTTAAGTAATATTGCGTAAGAATCATCATTACCCAAAATGATTTTTTCCTTGGGGATAATATCTTTTGTTGTTAGCTCGAATTAATCCAGATATACTATAAAATGACGTAATAGTAAACTCTTATAGATATACGTAGGTTGCACGCAATATTACCTACATGTATAAAAAAATTAGGCTTCATTTAATTTATGCTTTTATTATTATTTTATTTGTTTTTAATTAAAATTTAAAATTAAGAGACAAATAACCAAAAAAAAAAAAAAGTCAGAGCAAAGTATTAATCAAACAAATTTTAAATATAATTTGTTTTTTTATAAGACTTTATTTGGTTATTTGATTGATACTATTATTTGCCATTTTCAATTAATTTTTTTTAAAAAATAATGAATATATCATGAATTTTTTTAATTAATTTCATGTTGAAATGTATACATGAGAGAAAGAAACAGAACAGTTTCATTTGTGTAAAAGCTTTTTGAGAGGTTATACTTCAAACTGAGAAATTATGGAACCAGAATTAACGAAGCTAGGCAGCTCAATCCCGGTTCCTTCCATTCAAGAGGTGGCAAAGGAGGCCCTCGGCAGAGTTCCACTACGATATCAGCGACCTGATCAAGACCCTCCATTTACATCCATTGACACAGCTTGTTCACCAAAAGTCCCGGTCATCGACATGCTCATGTTGCTTTCTGGAGATTCGATGGATGTTGAACTAGAAAAGTTGCACGATGCATGCAAAGAATGGGGTTTCTTGCAGGTATATTTTGCCATTGAGGAGAGCCCATCATTTTTTTTTTTTTTTAAATTTGATATAAAATGTATATATAGTAGTTTGAGCAATCAATGTGTAATTGCAGTTGATAAATCATGGAGTGAGCAGTTCATTGGTGGAGAAAGTGAAGAAGGGAATCCAAGGTTTGTTCAACCTCCCCATGGAAGAGAAGAAGAAGCTTTGGCAGCGTCCAGGGGATCTGGAGGGATTCGGACAGGCTTTTGTTGTGTCTGAGGAACAGAAGCTTGATTGGGCAGACATGTTCTTCATGACTGCACTTCCAACTCATCTCAGGAAACCTCACCTCTTCTCCAACCTTCCTCTTCCATTCAGGTTATTATTCTCCCCCATCTCTCTCTTTCTCAAAATTATTACTTAATTAGTAGATTAAAATTCTACAAAAGTTTTAAGAATATTTCAAATTTTGCTAAACCCAAATTTTTTCTCCCATATATATTGAAATAATTATAGGATATTACAATAGTTAAGCTCTGTTTATTTTTTTTTTTGGTTAAATTTTAATTTAAAATAAAAAAATTTTTAATTACATACTTTTCTGCTTTGAAAAGCAAAAAATAAAAAATGTTTTTAAATGTAAAAGCAAATTACTTTTAGAGTGTTAAAAATAGAGAAATTGAATTTTTTTTAAACAAAATATATGATTAATTAACTTATATATAGAGTTTATTTGATTCATTTGGTCCCTTCATTTCGAAAGAATAAAATCTGTTAATATTATTTTGGTCATTTTTAATTAATTCTGATTCTAGTTTTTACCATTTTTTTTATTGTTCAGATTTTTTTAAAAAAAAAGGCAAATAGAAAAATCTACGTAATTTAGTTAATAATACAATAAATCTTTGAACCGATATACTCTTTCATTTGCTTGCAGAAAGGATATTGAAGCTTACTCGGCAGAACTGAGAAACATTGCCTTGAAAATACTGGCCTTCCAGGTAAAAGCGTTGGGAATAGATTCTGATGATGTTAGGATTTTTGAAGGAGGTTGGCAAGCAATGAGGATGAACTGCTATCCCCCTTGTCCAGAGCCAGAGCTGGCCATTGGGCTAAGCCCTCACTCGGATGCTGTTGGCATCACCATTCTTCTTCAAATCAATGAAATGGAAGGCCTTCAGATAAGGAAAGATGGTGCTTGGGTTCCTATTAAACCCATGCCTGATGCTTTTATTGTTAATGTGGGGGATATCATGGAGGTAAATTAAATTAATGGCCTATCATTTTCTATGACACTGTCAATGGTTGCAAGATATAGTAACTAATAGTCAATTAATTTGGTCAAAACCTTATCAGAAACACAGTAAAATCAATCCGTCATCTTTGAAATTACTTGACAAAATACAAGTTGAAAATGACAAGCATTTTGGGCCGCAGGCTGTTTTTTCACGTGAGAACGTAGTAATTCCATTTGATTTTTCCTTTCTCAAAGAGAAGAGAAGACAATGGATAGCAAAATCCATAGTGGCTTTGACTAAATGATTTTGCAGATAGTGACGAATGGGATTTACCGTAGCATTGAGCATCGTGCAACTGTTAACTCAGAGAAAGAGAGGCTGTCCATCGCCACATTTTACTGTCCGAAACTGGATGGAGAAATGGGTCCAGCTCCAAGCCTTATCACTCCTGAAACTCCGCCAAATTTCAAAAGAATTGTTGTGGCAGACTACTTCAAGGAGCTTTTTAAACGTCGGCTCGATGGAAAATCATTCCTTGATGTCATGAGAATCGCAAAGGACCAAAATAGTTAGGAATTCCAAAAACATGTCAATTAATGTGGAGTGTAGCTTTGTGCTTGGTGGTGTAAAGTGTAGTGTCGTGTGGTGTGGTGTGGAAGTGACATGTGAAGTAAAAGGGTGAGTGGGGTGAACAAGTGAGAAGTGATATAGAAAAGAAACAAGGTGTTTTATGAGTATAGAGAAATTAGTGTGTGAATGCATAATCATTTAAGAAAATTATTATATAAGAGTGTGTTTATGATAAAATTTTCTGATAGCAATTGTATTTGTTTCTTCATATTAATCAAGACATAAGCTCAACAATATTGAGAATCCAAAACTAGCTAGGAATGCCAAAATTGCAAGTCAATTAATTTAAAAATTCGATCGTGCAAGTATGCATGCTATGATTAAATAAATTTCATGACAAAATAAATGAACAAGAGGGACTTAATTTTCACGTTTGATCAAACAGCAAAAATATATAATTCAGGTTATTAAGGTTTTCTAGTTTCATTATTCAAAGGGACGTACATAAGATTTTTTTTTTCTTTTTGCCATGTCAGATAAGTTTTATTAAAGGATAGGGCCATTACAAGTGATAGAAGATATCTCTCAATCAATAAGAAAAGTAATAAAGATTGAATAATCCGCACAAGCAGCTAATTCGCCAAGTGATGAAAGAGATAGAAATTAACCTGGAAAGTTTATTTTTAAATGTTGGAAGTTTGTGCAAAAATAAGAATAAAAATGTTGATTAGTCGAAAAATTTATAAAAAAATCAGATTACTTATATTATAAATTCTTATATGCAATTAATATTATCAAAGTGAGGACAAATGTAGATTTTCCAATAGTTGTCCACATACAATAATGTCAATTACTAGCTACTAATAATATATATATATATATATATTATAATTAATTAGATCCAGGCTTAATTTCTGCTTAGCAAGGACATTGTCAAATTGATTCAAAATTTTTCCCAATTTAAGTGATGTTGTATAAGTATCATCAATTTGCTAGCTTGAATTAATCTAATTATATTATAAAAGGACGTAATAGCTGTTAACTTTATATATACGTGGGTTGCACTCAATATTATATATACATATATATATATATATAATTAGGCTTCATTTAATTTATGCTTTTATTATTTGTCATTATTTTTAATTTAAAGTTAAAAAAAGACAAATAACAAAATAAAATAAACGAATTAATCTAACGAAATTTTAAATATAATTTGATTATAAATGTGATTTATATAATTATTTGATTGATATATTATTTGTCATTTTCTATTAATTTTTTTAAAATAATAAATATATCATGATATTTTTAATTAATTTTATCGTTGAAGTTTATAATTAAATTAGTCATCAATCAGTATACACAAAATTATATATTTTATAATTATTATATGGCAAGTAATTAATCATAATTTAAAATTATATGAAGTTTAATATAAAGTTTATGTTTATAACAAATGAATTTTTATAATAATTTTTATTATCATTAAATAATTATTATATTTTAATAAAAAAATTATAGGTGAAATGCTCGGTATGCACTCTCACCGCGGTATAAATTGCGTCATCCCTCTTCCTTCCTCACTATGAGTGAAAGCAATAGAGCCGTTTCGTTTGTGTAAAAGCTTTTTGAGAGGTTGTACTTCAAACTGAGAAATTATGGAACCAGAATTAACTAAGCTAGGCAGCTCTACCCTGGTTCCTTCCGTTCAAGAGGTGGCAAAGGAGGCCCTCGGCAGAGTTCCACTACGATATCAACGACCTGATCAGACCCTCCATTGACATCCACTGACACAGCTTGTTCATCACAAGTCCCTGTCATCGACATGCTTATGTTGCTTTCGGGAGATTTGAAGGATGTTGGACTAGAAAATTGTCACCATGCATGCAAAGGATGGGGTTTCTTCCAGGTATATTCTGCCATTGAGGAGAGCCCATGACTTTTTTTTTTTTTAAACTTTGATCTAAGATTTATATATAATAGTTTGAGCAATCAATGTGTAATTACTAGTTTGAGCAATCAATGTGTAATTACTAGTTTGAGCAATCAATGTGTAATTACAGTCGATAAATCATGGAGTGAGCAGTTCATTGGTGAAGAAAGTGAAGAAGGGGATCCAAGGTTTGTTCAACCTCCCCATGTGGAAGAGAAGAAGAAGCTTTGGCAGCGTCCAGGGGATCTGGAGGGATTCGGACAGGCTTTTGTTGTGTCTGAGGAACAGAAGCTAGATTGGGCAGACATGTTCTTCATGACTGCTCTTCCAACTCATCTCAGGGAACCTCACCTCTTCTCCAACCTTCCTCTTCCATTCAGGTTATATTCCTCTCCCATCTCTCTCTTTTCTCAAAATTCATTACTATAGTAGATTAAAATTCTACAAAAGCTTTTAAGGAATATTCCAAAATTTTGCTAAACCAAAATTTTTTCTCCCATATAAATTGAAATAATTATAGGATATTACAATAGTTAAGCTTTGTTTTTTTGTTTTTTTTTGTTTTGTTTAAATTTTAATTTAAAATAACAAATTTTTTAATTACATACTTTTTTGCTTTGAAAAGCTAAAAATAAAAAATGTTTTTAAATGTAAAAGAAAATTACTTGTAGAAAGTTAAAAATAGAGAAATCGAATTTTTTAAAAAACAAAATATATGATTAATTTGCTTATAAATAGAGTCTATTTGATTCATTTGGACCCTTCATTTCGAAAAATAAAATCTGTTAATATTCTTTCGTCATTTTTAATTAATTTTGATTCTAGTTTTTACCATTTATTTTTATTGTTCAGATTTTTTTTTTTTTAAAAAAAGCAAATAGAAAAATCTAAGTAATTTAGTTAATAATACAATAAATCTTTGAACCGATATACACTTTCATTTGCTGGCAGAGACGGTATTGAAGCTTACTCGGCAGAACAGAGAAACATTGCCTTGAAAATACTGGCCTTCCAGGTAAAAGCGTTGGGAATAGATTCTGATGATATTAGGATTTTTGAAGGAGGTTGGCAAGCAATGAGGATGAACTACTATCCCCCTTGTCCAGAGCCAGAGCTGGCCATTGGGCTAAGCCCTCACTCAGATGCTGATGGCATCACCATTCTGCTTCAAATCAATGAATTGGAAGGCCTTCTGATAAGGAAAGATGGTGCTTGGGTTCCTATTAAACCCTTGCCAGATGCTTTTGTTGTTAATGTGGGGGGATATCATGGAGGTAAAGTATATTAATGGCCTATCGTTTTCTATGACCTTTCACCCCTAGAATTTGCCACTGTCAATGGTTGCAAGATAAAACAAGTAACTAACAGTCAACTAATTTGGTCGAAGCCTCATCAGAAACAGAGTAAAATCAATAAGTGATCTTTGAAATTACTTGACAAAATACAAGTTGAAAATGACAAGCATTCTGGGTTTGGGCCTCAGGCCGCTTTTTCACGTGAGAACGTAGTAATTCCATTTGATTTTTCCTTTCTCAAAGAGAAGAGAAGACAATGGATAGCAAAATCTATATTAGTCATGTAAATTCGTACAAAAATAAATATCATGCAATAAATATAAAAATAAAAATAAATAATTAAATATTATAAAAATTATGTAAAAATAAAAAAAATAAAAAAAATATTACCTCAATAGATCACAGTTTCCAATAATTTTTCTCTTTTCAAAAATTAATAATTCTTACTATAAATTTTAGCCTTCCTTCCAAAATTTCTAATTGAATCTTCATGTAATTTTTTTTGCTTAATTGCTTCTTTATTGTTGATTCAAAACTTTACCAAAATTTTTTTCTTTTCAATGACTTTTGTTTGATTTTGAAGTCAATTGCTGTGAGCCTTCTTCTTTAATTACAAATTTAAGGTCTTTTTATGGGGATTGAATCTTTTTTTATTTTAAAAAAATTAATTCAATCGAATTTAAGATTTCTCTCCAACTTTTATTATCTATGTAATATTATCTTTTTTTAGTAGATTGAATCCTAAGTCTTTTCAAAATCATTCAACCATTAAAGTTAAAATTTGATATAGAATCTAAGAGTTAAATTGAATCCAAAATTTTTCATACAAAAACTCACATTTTTTATTTTTTTATTTTTACCCCTTTTTATTTTTTTGACAATTGATTTTGACTTTTTTGACTAAATAACCAAAACTTAAACTAAAAAAATTAAAATACAAATAAATTTTAAAACTTAATTTTTGACCTCAAAATTTACTTTTTTAATTAAAACGCAGTTGCATAATCAAAATTAAAATTTAAAATTAAATGAATTTTAAAAAATCTCTCAATAAAATGAAATATCTATAAAAAGGTTGAGGACATCTCTATCTTTCGATCCTTCCTACTCTCTCTTATCTACAATTTTTTTTCAACCTTGTCCCTGTTCGTTTTAGATCTTTCCTTTTATTTTTTTCTCAACCCAATAACCTAAACAAACTAAGAATTCTTTTTATATCCTATTTTGAACATGTGTCTACAGAAAAAGGTTTGAAGACAAAATTATATTGTAGTAAAATTAGGCTTCATTTAGTTTATGTTTTTATTATTTTTTATTTGCTTTTAATTTAAAGTTAAAAATAAAAGACAAGTAACAAAAAAACAAAAAGTAAAAGTATTAGTCTAATGAAAATTTAAATATAATTTGATTATCAATGTGATTTATTTGATTATTTGATTGACACTATTATTTGTCATCTTCTATTAATTTTTAATTAATTTCATAACTGAAGTGTATATATATGTATCATAAGTAAATTAGTCATCAATCAATAAACACAAGATTATATCACTTATAATTATTGTACTACAATTAATTAATCATAATTTAAAATTATATAAAATTCAATTTAAAACCCATATTTATAACTAACTAGGACTAAAGCGTAACAATAAAAATCTTACTCTTATTGGAGCCTGATTTAAAAAAAAAAAAAAACTTAACTCAATTATCCTGAATTTAAAAAAATGTACCAATTAGACTTGGCTAAACCAAAGTCCATAAGATATGAGTTATTTTGTCATCTTTATTTTAATTGATATTTTTGTAAAATTTATCTAATAATAAATTAAAAGTAAAAATTAAAAAAAGAATAAAAGCTTTAAAAAAGTTCAAAAAAGGAAAAAAAAAAAAAGAAAGAGGTGCTATTTGGACACCTAAGACGGACAGGACACTTTAAATTCGTCTTCAACCCAACTCCATTTTTTTTAAAAAAAATCTTGATCCAATCTTAATTTTTAAAAAAATAAATTTATATCGAATTAGTACG